ATTAACATGGCTGTGGTGGTGGTCAGCTTTGCTCCTGGTGACGGATGATGGGATTGTGTGAATTCCCTGGAGTGAAGCAATTCCCTGTCCTTTGCAGGCACGGCTCAGGAGTACGGTGGGATTATACGTCACGGTGCCAAGCTGCTGTTTGCCTTTGCAGAGGCAACTGTGCCCAAGATCACTGTCATCACCAGAAAGGTAAGCTGGCAAAGTCCATGGAGGTCTTCCAGAGTTCCTCTTTGAACAATTTTAGTTAAACCAAGCTTTGTCTGTCTGTCCCAGCAGTGCCTTCTATCGTTGTCGCATCTCTGTTCGTCCCATTTGGTAACACCTCTGTGTATAACGTTGCGAGAGGCCACTTCTATTTCCAGACCACTACCTTAGTTCCTTCCTTCCTCTTGTCTCTGTACCCCTCTGGAACTTCCAGTTTCTGCTTCCTGCTTTTTCTCTGGAATGCCTTCACTCAAGTACTTGTCCCATGTCACCCAGCTTGTCTCACTAAGAAGATGCCATCTGTTTGCACCAATTCTGCTTTCTCCCATCTTGCTTCCTGAGCCTCCCTCTGCAAACCCAGCACTGGCTGCATCTGTCTTCTGCTGTGTCTTCAGGTTGAACGCTCATGTGGCTTCTTTTCCTCCCCAGACTTCTGCTATGCTCTACCTCATCTTCCTTTCTCCATAAGGTACCTGACATCTTACTGCCATAAGCTCTGGGGCTGACACCTTACAACTTTAGCCTTCTCCTTGCTGCTCTGCCCCATCTGCTTGTTTTTCTGATACTCTTTGGGCTTATCACGGCAAAAATAAAAAAGAACTTTCTGCTCCTTTGCCTTCTCTGATTGTTCCAAGTATTTCCATGCAGTACTTGTCAATCCTTCAGCCTTGCTGCACTGTTCAGTACTGCCCTGACAGGGACTGCACTGCAGTTTGCTCTGCAGTCTTGCAGTATCTGTTCATCACTGCTGTCTGGAGCATTTCCAGTTTCAGAGTGGAGCACTGCAGAGCCTGAGTGCTGCATTCCCTGGCCAGGAAATTCCAGAAGCACACTGCCTGGTTGGTTTGTGTGCATGTGCAGGGTGCAAGTTGAGGCCTGCAGGTCTGGATACACACTGACCCCTCCCTGCCTGCCGTGCAGAATGGGCTTGGTCAGCAGTCCCCTTCCTTGCTCTTTTGGGGCTCTAGTTGAAGTGGTGTCTATTCCTAAAAATACACAAAGTGGAGATGCTCATGCTCTCCTTCAGATAAAAGCCCCAGATGCTTGTCTCTGGACAAGAAAAAGCTGCAGGAGCAATGCAGGCTGTTGCTGCTGCAAGGCCACTCCTGGAGCGGGCGCCCGGGTTTGTGTCACAGGCCTACGGGGGTGCCTACGACGTGATGAGCTCCAAGCATTTACGAGGAGATGTGAATTACGCCTGGCCCACAGCTGAGGTGGCCGTCATGGGAGCCAAGGTGAGTCCAGGCCCTTCTCACTGTGGTCAGCAGTGCCCTGCCAGCAGCACCAGTGCCATGCCAGCACCAGGGGCTGTCCTGCTGCTGTGGGCAGGGGGGATGCTCCCATGCCCTCACCTGAAGGGCATGGCCTGAGGGACTGTCACTGACTGAGCCCTTCTGTTCCCAGGGTGCTGTCCAGATCATCTTCAGAGGAAAGGAGGCCAATGCAGAGGAGGAGTACGTGGATAAGTTTGCAAACCCCTTCCCTGCTGCCATAAGAGGTATGGTTGTCTCCCACACTGTCTTCCATTTGGTTTGCCATTGCATGGAGATAAAGTTGTGCTATTGAGTAAAGCTTTTGCTAACAATTAAAGTTTTTTAGGTAAGATAGTTGTGTCTGAGTTAGAAAGGTGATACTTAACCACAGCCTGTGCCTGTGGACAACATCTGGACACAGGACACATCTTCAGCTGCAAAGAGCCTGGTGAAAAGCAGGGACTGCTCTGCAAAGTGCATTTTCAATGGTGTAGATAGCAGAAGGTGTCTCAAAATTCAGCCTTTTTCTTTATAGAACAGGTGCTTTGACAATCTGTTATACAGCCCTAGATGCAAAGCAGTGGCCTGAAGAGAGTTATGTTCTCCAGAACTCTCAGGAGCAAGTTTTTCCACTGTTTCTGCTTCCAGTTTTGGAGCAGTAACTGTGCTCTAAAAGGCAAGTTATATTCAGAATTTAAAAATTGACTCAGGAATGTTTCCTTGTCAGTCTATTTTAAATGCAGTTAATTTATAACTTGTGAACTTATTTATCCCAGCCATTGTGTTGATTTTGCTAACTGATTGGTTAGCCTAGATACAGAAGGCTGGGAGGCACACACTTCATGGTTGGTCAGGTTGAGGGTTTTTTTTGTTTTAATCTGTTGCAGGGTTTGTTGATGACATCATCCAGCCTTCGACCACCCGCACACGCATCTGCCATGACCTTGATGTACTGGCCAGTAAATCCCAGTCCAGTCCTTGGAAGAAACATGCCAACATCCCACTGTGAGGGTGAGCAGGGGCTGCCCATGCTGGGAGACATTCTGAATACGAGTTCTGGTTAACTGTCTGGTTAATGGAGGTCTGCTTGGCAATAGAAATAGTTATATGAATTTTGATTTTTGCCAATAATCATCAATAAATCATAGTATATATTTAATTTGGGGGTCTGACCAGACCTCTCTGTAAACCCATTCTTGGTGGTTAATACTCAACACACTCTGCCCTGCCTGCTGCAGGTGAGCTGTTACTAATTGCTCAAGGTCGAACATTCCTTGGCTCCCTCATTCCACAGGCCCTGGAGGTGGCTCAGTCCTGCCTGAGCCACCTCCCACTGCTGAGAAGTTGGACCCCTGTGGAGTTCAAGGGTATTCCACTGGCCACAGACTTTGGAGTCTGACTCCACTTCCCAACTCCACCACTGACTCAGAGAGGAAAATCCTGAGCTTGGGTTTCAGTGCTCTGGAGACCAGGCTCTGCTGATCCCAGACTCAGTTGTTCTGTTCCTCTGTTAGTCTGGCCTGTGGCAGCTTTGCCCTGCTGGCTGCAGCAGCTGGGTCTCAGAGCCCCAGGACAGAGGTGGGTGGCACAGGGGAGGCACAGCCAGTCCATTCTTAAGAACAGCAGACAAAAAAGGGCAGTTTTGGTGGGACTTGCAAACCCTTCTCCCTCAGCAGAGGCTGGAACAGAGACCTCCAGAAGGCCCTTTCAGCCTCCTTTGTATAAGATTATTTGCCAGCCTCACCAGGAAGCACTGCAGGAGGTGTTACTCTGATCAGTTCTGGGCCTGTGCTCACCTGCTCAGTAGAGGCTGCAACTTCCCTGCAGCCCCAAGGCAGTGAGGAACAGCCACTGTCACGTTCAGTGCTGCTGCTGTGGTCACCTGGCTGCTCTGAGTAACTGACATTTGTTGTGACAGAGCCTCCCTACCTGCACTGCAGCTGCTGTTGCTCACTCCCCAGCACGAGCCTGAAGGAGGAGAGAGGTAGGATGGCCGTGTCCCAGGCAGCTTCTCTTCCCAGGAGAGTGCAGTGAGTAGAGCTGTGGAGCTTGGAGCCTCTACCTGGGGGGGAAAAAGCAACAGCTAAACGTCATTTAAAAGCACAATACAAAAGGAGCATTTCAAGTAAGAGTTCCAGCTCCCCAGGTTTTTGGATGCATGGGAGGCAGCACCTTCAGATTACAGACACTGGCTGTCCTGTCTGTGGCACATGTCTGTGCCTCAGCATGAAAAAGCTCTTGGTGCTGCCCCAGGGAACAGAGCTGGCTGCAGCAACAGGGGAAGGTAATTCAAATGTTACTGTGGTGGGTGGCATGGCCATGATGGCAGTTCCTAGTTAACTGTAAGGGTTTATAATGCCCAAGAAGATTTTCCAAAGGTAAAGCAGGTTTAGAGGCAGAAGCTGTGATAGGTGAAGGAATACATATTCAGCTTGCCCAGAGTCAGAAGGAGACAATCCATGAGAAAGCCACTTGTCATAAAGAGGAAAGTACAGCTTTGTTAGTTGTTTCCTAACCTCAGTATTGCTGCAGACTCCATCCTCTCTCCCATCCCTTGGCAGCACAAGAACTGGGCTTTTAGATCCTCTCCATTTCCAAACAGGCAGTTGCTCTACCAGGACATGCTGGAAACAGGCTGGAAAGCTGCTCTGACCAGGCTTCTGAGAATTTCCTTGAAGTCCAGTCACCTAAAAAAAGAAGAGGTACAAAATAAAATCCCTTAAAAAATGTGTAGCCCTTCCTTAGCAGCAGGGCAAGTTACTTACTGTATTCCTCAGTGCAGCAGGAGTTGCTATAACTTACAAGCATTTGGAGACTGAGCTTTCAGGCTGTCTTGGGAGTAGTTGAGACTTTGAATCATCCCTGTGCCTCAGCTGCTGCATCTTGCTCCTTTTTATGACTCCAGTGATTTTTCCTCAGGAAGTGGGCCAGGTGATAAAGCAGTCAGTTTTCCTTAGCACTACAGAGATGAAGTCTTTCATGGATTGGACAAAAATAGCACTTTGCTCCCTGAGACATGGGAGTAACACGGACATTTTGTTTCAGGAATCTGTGAAACTTCATTTAACCCAGCTGGTTGGTAGAACTTTGAAGCCTTTCCCATGGCAGTTTCTTCTCACAGACTTCAGGTCACTTCAGACACATAGGGCAGAAGAGAGAAATTCTTCTCAAACCTTGTGGCATTTCAAGAAATCATAAGTGTTAGCAGTGCAGCTCTTGCATCTGGTGTGGGGCCTTCCCAGATTTACAGCAATCCCACATTCAGCACCCCTCTACCCACCCACCCACCCCCAGCCAAACCACACCATGGTGGAGGGGAGAGAGAAGCCCAGAGAGGATTTCCATCACTCTTGAGGCTGAGTGGGTAAGGGAGTGGGGTACAGGGCTGGTTGTGAAGCCTGGACTACATGAAAGCTCCCTGTCAGTTTGCCTTTAATAATTCCTTGAATTCCTACTACTAAATGGGATGACAAAATGTGATGGTCCAAACAAGCACTTAAAAGAAAACTATAGTGAAGAGGGTGCTCATCATACTCATGATTTTCAATAGTTTATTAAATGAAAGGTGAAGCATCAGTTTTAAATTGTACAAAAGGAAAAAAAAAACCTCATATTGTAAATGTACAATTTACAGAATTACTAGCAAAACCAATCAAGGAGACACTCATAATACAAAAACCTATTGACTGCAAACTGAACTGGAGACCCATTGCAGGTACCATGATAATAAATGTTTGTTATACAGTATTCTACAATGTTAAATTAGGAATCAGTTTTCCACACAGAGGACTGTGAAGCACAAGGTTTGTCTGAGACTCTGACTCAAACTGGGCAGCATCTGTTGTGCCACCATGCTCACAGAGTGATCCTGGGACAGGTCCTGCAGCCATTCCTGCCCCCAGGCCGTGGGGGTGCACAGGGAAGTAACGGGCTTTATAAAGTTCCAGCTACTTCTTGGGATCAATACATCCCCAAGCCACACTAAGGAATGGCTGAATTACCTGGTCAGACATTTTTGGCAACCGTGTCTGAGAACTGCACGTGTTGTGAGAGCCAAGCTCAGCTGGGTAAGGTGCTGGGCTGGGCCAATTTGGGCTCTTTCCCTGCCCACGCTGGGCACTGAGGGCTTGGGCTGGTGTCCAGTAAGCTTGAAACAGAAAAAGCTCCGGGATTATTCTGCAGTTGCTAAAACTAAAGCACCTCTGAAACTGCTGTGCTCCAAGTGGGTCAGTCTGCTTTGAATCCCAACTGCTGCTGAGTGCAGAAAGATGAAGGTTTTGGGGCCAATTGTCGGAGATCTGGAGCTGTGGAGGGCCAGCACCGCTGGTGCCAGGCCAGGCTGGGTAAGGAGCAGCTACTACATCGAGTCATAAAATTGAAGCATAATGAATTTCCAAATTATTGAAGACATTGAAAAATATCTTAGTACAATGAATTAGCTGAGAATGTTTTGGGGTTTTTTGGATTTTTTTTAATGTTTTTAGCTTTTTTGAAAAATCATATTTTTTTCCAAAGAATTACTCTCAATATGCACAGTTAACACTGAAAATGTAGCTGTAGTCCATTGTAAGCTTAAGAACTTCACCATCTAAGCACAAATTTCTATGCAGCACATACAGTACTTCTAACTGGCAAAATTAATTTACAAAAATAGCGGAAAAGGGTATTTACGGCATGGAAAGTAGACTCTGTTTTATGGTACAGTTAAAATTACTTTTAGTATGCTAAAGTGATCCTTTCCCCCACCCTTGAACTATTTTTTTTTTAATAGGAAAGTTGCTGTTTATGTACCTTGTGTTGGCAGGCTTGAAGTAGGTAGTAAAAACAGCAAAGTGATTACTTGAGAACCATTTGTGTGTTTTACTGAGAATACTTTATTTGCTGGTATAAGTTGCTAAAAATGCACAGAGCAAGTACCAATAGAAAATTTACTGGTTTTGTGTCCCCATGTGCTATATAAAATGAATGTTACACAGCATCTGTTGGAAAAGTGGCTTCATGGACATCTCTTACTTTATGTCCCATTATAAATAAAAATAAATCTTCTCAAGAGTATAAAATCTGGGTTTATCATATCAGAATCTGAAATTTTTTGGCAGAGATGCACGTCATTAGAATTCTAAGCTCTTCTCTGAGAGTGTTCTTCTCCATGCCTATGAGAGGACATAAGCGTACCATAATGTTAATCAAATCCAGTGTGTTCCAAAACACTTTTCCGTAGCCAGAACGACCTGCTTACAGCAGCCTTGCTAGTCAGTGGCTGATAGGCATAGGTTTAATAAAAATGGCTAGCTTTGAAAACATAAAAAGGCAAATGTTAAAACTGTTTTAAATTGTACAGCAGAAAAATAAAGTTAAAAAAGTTCTGTTTTCACTCAATGTTGTTTTCAGAAAACATATGTAGAACAGTGTTTATTTTGACAGCTGTCTTAACAATTTAAAACTTCCTCCTCATCCAGAAAAAAAAAAAAAATCCGTATTAGGACAGTCAAGAACAGGGATACAAATGATTTTTTAGGTCAGCCCTTCTGAGGTGAGTGGATTGGCCAACATTCCCGTGTGTCATTAAGAAGCTCCTCTTCTCTCCGTCACTACACCAAGGGGTTGACCTCAATCATTTGGTTAAAAATCAAACCGTATCACATCAAAAATGTGGTTTTCATACAAGCTATCACAGTATATAGGCCTCTAGCTCTAAACAATAGAGTTCCAAGTTTGTAAAAGGTCTTCGCCAGACTTCAGAACATGGGCATGCCAAATCCCTGGAAAAGGGGGAAAAGACAGCGGTTACGTGGGGTGGGACAAGAGCGGAGCTCAAAGCGAGCAGAACGAGCCGGGCCTTACTGAATCGTCCTCGATGATCGCCGCCGAGTCGAAGAAGTCCGGCCGCAGCTCCGCGCGCTCGCGCCGGTTCCGCGACGGCGGCTGCAACACACGGGAGTTGGAACAGCACGAACAGCACGGGGCACAGGAGCCCTGCCCGCCACAGGGCCGCCTCTGCCTGCCCCCAGCCTCCCCCCAGCGCCACGAAACCTTGGGGGCAAACAGGACAGCACTCCCTCGACTCTACTATTGAAAGAATGGGTAAAGCTCATGGACTCTAACTCTGTGCTCATAGTTAAGGACTTGCCCAAGGTTTTCTTGCTGACTTATGGATGTTTCTGTATTGGCACTGTAGGCCACACTGCACAGAAACTGCCTCTTAACTCTCTTTATGCTTTTAAGTTCATAGTGAAATGAGCTCTGACACAGCTGTAGGCCAGACTGCACAGAAACTGCCTCTTAACTCTTTATGCTTTTAAGTTCATAGTGAAATGAGCTCTGACACAGTAAAAAATGGATTTACCAACAAAAGGGTATGGAAGATACTGAAATATTTCTGAGGCTTAAACCCTTGGTGGTGTCCTTCCCCACGAACACAAGAGTAGGTGTGAGCCTCACTGGCTTGATCAATTCCTTTCTCTCCTTGCCTTGGCTGTTACTTGGTAATTACATGAGTGCTGGCAGTAACCTCAGTATGCAGCCACCCTTCCCAAGACGCTGTAGCCCAGGCCTAATATAACCTAGGGCTTGTTGTTTGGATGTGAAAGGAGAAACAAAGGCATAAAAATGGTGAGGTGTGTAAAGCTAACTGCTCCTTTATCCCATTTTACAAGGGAGGAGTCATTCCAGAGGGGAGGCCAGTTAAGGCTGCAAGTGCTGCAAGGAACTTCTCCCACCAGTCAGCACAGAACTGGAAGGGACTGAGGCTGCCATTGATCATGGGACCTGTTTGGGAGCAATTCCTGTTTAAGGAGCTCCCGCCCACACACCAGTGCCTGTGCTCCCTCCTGCTGTGCCAGCAGGACTCTGGCTGTGACCTACTGAGACCTCGAGTAAGGATCCCCTGCCCAGCCCACCTCCTCAAAATCAAACTAGCCAGGAAAGGGAAAGAGAGGGACCCCTTTGGCTGTGCCAGTCTGACACATGGTGGCTGCAACAAAGAGCCAGGTCAGCACAGCCTGTAACTCATAACGTGATCCATGTGGGCTGACAAGCCCGAGGTGTGTGATGGTGCTGCTGCCAGAAGCTGCCCAAGAACACAATCTTGGGAAGAAGGAGCACTAAGCAACGCTCCTTGTGTGGCTGTGGAACAAACCCACTGGGCTCGTGCCTGCAGCTGGAGGCTCTGGGAAGTGCTCACATCATTTCCACTCAACCAGAGGCCAGACTCAAAATGCTGGAAATTTTTCTTTACACTTCTAAAATTCCTTTTAAATTAGCTTTCAACTGTTTTAAACTTGCCATTGGTAAGATTTACTGACCAGATCAATGACCATTGTGTCCTCAAATTCTTCATTCATGTCTTCTAGCTGGCCTCGTGAGGACATCATTACATCTTCAAAGATAGGCTCAGCGTCATCTTCCATTAGACCTCGTCTGATTAAACAGAGAGAGAGTCATTTCTGGGCAGAAAAACTCCCAGCCCTGATCTTTGTCATTAAAAAGAATGCTCAAATCCTATCACTTAATGCCTTCACTCAAACCCTGATGCTGAGGGTAAAGCCAACAGGCTCTCTGAAATAGCAAAGAGAGGAAAATCTCACATAAAGTCCCCTCCCCAAACCCTGGCCCAGGCTGAAGCAGCAAGTCCCACTGACAGCACCATGACCAGTAACTGAAGCTGTCCCACAGGAACAGGGCAGTAACTCCTCTTGTGTTTGCCTGCCCTTTTACCAAGGAGGAGTGACAATGTTTGCCAGGATCACTGTAAAGCCCTGTGACTCCAGCAGTGCCTTCAAGCCTGGTTCCAAAGGCTGTAAGGATTCCAACCCCCTGCTGAAGGACTCAGTGGGATCAGCACAGAGCATGTGGTGCCCCAGTGTTCACCCACGTGTGTTCCATCCATTACTGCACAGGGAGACTCCTTGGCAAAAAAGGATGGAGAGCACAGACACAGGAACAGGCTCGTGGGCAGAGCTCACAGGGAATTACACAGCACACAAATCATGGAACCCCTCTGAGGAATGGGGAACTGCACCCTGTCACTGGGCCTGCTGTCTGGCCACAGTCAGAGAATGGCAGTGCTGGGCTGGATCCACCCAAGCACTACAAACTGTCCCTCTGCCTTCACCACAAGGGTGAAATGGCACAGAAACCCCTGGCAACCAGCAGGAAAGGTAACATTTCTCTGGTGCCCTGCACGTTTCTGCTGAGGGCAGCAGCCTCTGAGCACTTACACTGCGTGCCTTACGCCACTTCTGCCTTTCATGTAGTTCATTCCTGTCCTGTCCTTTCGATTGAGATCCTCCAGCTTCTGCTGGCCCAGCCACGAGATCTGCATCTGGGGACTGACACAGGGAGTAAGTTAGGATCAACAGCAGTAACAGTTCTGAGCTGCCTCTTCTGGGGCAGTTTCTGTCTCCAAGTTCTGTGTCTGGCCATGCTTCAGATTAGAATAATTAAATCCCATCCATCATTGTACACCTCTTCTGGATTCCCTTCCACAGTCTGTCTCCTCTCACTGTATGTGCACAGAAAAATCAATTAAGTGTTGCAATAAAAGCAGGTATGGAAACACTGACATTGCTCCTTCATTAGGAGCGGGCACGTGGAGCGGGAGCACCTCTGAAGTTTGTTATTATTAAATAGTACTTCACTGTGTCAGAGGAGGCAAAATATGAGCAAGAATGGATCCAAATTAGTAACTGACAAAAATGTCACACAACAATGTGAAAAACAAATGGTTTTTACACAAATAGCCTGATCAACTTAAGGGCCAGTACCTCACCCATGTGTAAGTACCTTCAGGCTGCACTGCTGATGGCACCAAGCAGCCCCTGAGCCACAGCCAGCCTGTGCTCACCTGCTGCATCCTGGCAGCACCTGCTGGCAACACCCACTGACAGAAAATAACCAATGTTTTCCCTCCAAATGGAGGTGATAAAATGGGAGCAAAGGGACAAAAAGAATATATAATTTAGGGCAATTACCTCAAATCAGGAATTACTAGCTCAGCAGCTGGAAATTTAGAAAATATCAGTCAGGGTGTCTGGAAAACCTTAACTCTGATATCAGGCAGGGGGAAAGAAAAGAGACTATCTACAGGTCTTCCAGAGAAAAAGTTCCACCCAGCCTGGGACACAAGCACTAGGATGATTTGACCAGAACTGCATGGCTATGCTATGAGACAGTTTTAACATAAGGAATTTCTACTACTATTCCATTACAACATATTCTTCTGGGACCTAAAGACAATCCCAGTATTGCTGAGCTGTAGTCAAGGCATTTCCAGGTGGCTTTGCAAATCAACACTGCATCTCTGGAGCCACAGGCTAACAATATCACTATAAACCACAAGCAATTCCTTTGCCTGGCCGACTGTACTTGATGCTGAAATTCCAAGACTTACTTGTGTAAAAAATCCTGTTCAGATCCCTGCTCCGACTCGTGCTCCTGGATCTGCTCTCCCATTTGTCTGGTGTTCTCTCTCAGGACAGTGGAGGTGAGCTGAGGTGTCTGCAGTGTCCCTGGAGTATGGATGTTCTCATTCCTGTTCAGCCAGGAGCCTTCCAGGCTCTCATCTAGAGAGAGAGCACTGAAATCACTGCTAATTTCTGACCACATGCAGGCAGCATTCAGACAAGTGTGCACTAGGGGATCACCTGGATAAATGCTTGCAATGGTAAGATTTTCAGTTCTAATTTTAGCTTCTGTTCTTTTAAGTATTACTACCCTCTATTCTCAGCAATAACAACAATTTAAAGGGAACAAACACAAACCCCATTGCAAACAAAGTCATACTGCAGCACGGCCTGAGCTGCTGGGTATCCTGAACATAAACAACGAGGTAATTCCCAATTCCTGAGTTTACAACTGGAGACTGTTAATCTCATGTACCTACATCAACCAAGATACAGGTAAACACTAAGACACTTAGCAATAAAAATGAGCTGAATATGACTGAAGGTCTAGGTGGGATCCTGTGCTTATGTTGGGAAGGGAGCAAAGCAGAGAGGAGGGAAGAGGGAGGACTTGAGAATGGGTTAGAGCAAGAAGGGTGCAGCCAGAGACACAGGAAAAAATTCAGTTGCTGGAGTGAAAGACAGGAGATGACAAGATCACAGATTTACCAACAGGAAATGTGTGGTGAGAAAAGTAGATGGGGATCTCCACAGATCTGTTCACTCTTCCATTGCCTTTTACTAACCTTTAGGCATAAATGTTATTTAAAAAGCTGCCTATTTATTCTCAATTTTACTTTTCAATAATTTTTATGTTAAGAATTTTTTTTTAACCTATTGATTTCCTTAAGGCATTGTGAAGGAATGTCACAGAGCACATTTCCTCTCAGAAGCAACAGGGAATGTTCTCCAAGGCAGTCCATGCTGGATTTAGGTGAGAAAGGAACTAGAGGGGACTAGGTATGGTTCTTTGATGCCACAGTAATTTCTGCAGTGACCTTTTTCCTATTAGATCCTTTAGAGTGGAAATTAAAGAAAAAAAAAAAAAACAAACCAAAAAAAACAACAACAAAAAAAAGAGATTCTCAAATGCAGAGTGTTGGAAGTCAGTTCTCCCTTCTACTGATCACTGAAAGAGGGTGACACAAAAGAGTATGAGATAAGCAAAACCTAAAAACTGAATCTTAAGCCTGAGATTTGCCTTACTGGGAGGCAAAGATGCTACTACACCTCCCAGGGTAAAAAAATAAGATATTGGTAAAATACAGTAGAATAGAAGGAAAATGGCAGTAAGAGGAAAGAAGAAAACCTCAGTAGCTGAATTCTGTGAAAATACTGGTATCCTGAAAGAAGAAAAACAGTGCCTGATGAAAGGAGACAGCATTTTATGTACCTGCACTTTGGGCTGGCTGTGAGAAGGACTTGGTGCAGGGACCATGAGCTGCAGTGGAGAATGGAGCTGGCTGTATGGGCAAACTTTTGAGGGGTATTTTGGGAAACTGCTGTATATTCAGGCAAATAGGAACAAGATTCCTTACTGAGGGATTACTGCACTGAACTTGGAAAAACCCTGAAGTTTAAGATCCCACTCACATCTACTGTATAGTGGAACAGCAAATTAGTATTCACAAAAGGCCACAGTGCAGCACACAGTTTGACCAGGAACAGATGCAGCCGTGTAAGAAATTTGCTATCACAGCCAGATTCCTGATGGACACACCTGAGGCCCCAGAAAGAGTAAATGCAGACAACACTAGATATCAGTACTATTTTAAACAAAAATGGTTGTCTTTTTAGTGTTCCCAGTGGCCCTGCAACAACAGAGATGTGTTATCAGAATTTCTGCCTGGAATCTGCTCCAAATCCCTGAGAATTAACAACTCCCCAGAGGGAACCACAGGCAGAAATCCAGCATTCCAGGAGTGAGAAAGAGCAGGCAACTTCACAAACACCTCTTCCAGCAGCAGTAACAGCTTTTAACAGTTCTGATTGCCAATTTTGGTCAAGACAAACAAGAACAGGGGGCTGTGGTGGTATTTCCCCTAAAGACATGTCCAGGCCTGACAGAACCAGCAGAACAGATGCCTTGGTTCTGCCACATCCAGAATGTGTCACGTATTTCTGGATGAGCTGGTAAAGCCCCCTCTCCTTCCTGTGTGCCCAGAATGCCAAAGGCCTGTGCCTCACTAACCTTCCACCCTCTTTTTGTGGAGGGGGGGTCGGCCCTTCTTGTTCCTCACGGAGGAGGCCTTGCTGCTGCTGCTGCCGCTGTTCACGGACATCCTGTCGTCCTCGCCACCCGTCACCAGCGAGTTCCGGTACGAGATCAGCGGCAGCCAAACGTCCTCTCTTCTCTCCATCATCTGCTCTGTCAGGAACTTCTCCAAGTAGGTGTGCCTGGAAAGGAAAGACAGGGGGTACAGAGGTGCAGCCATCTCCTCACAGACACCTGCATACGGCCACTGTGTCAGCAGCCAGGCTGCATCAGAGCCACCGCTGCAATGGGCGGTGGGTGCAGGATGTCCTTTGGCATCCTGCAACAAGAGAAACGGGTTAGTCAAATGCAGGCATTTATTTTTCCATAAAAAATTTGAACACCTGGTCCACCGCCATGAAAAGTCCAGTGCATCTGTATTAACTGAAAGGAGGAACCAACAACCTCCTGGTCTGGAGGGCACAGGAACTGTTTTCTTTTTCCATTGATTATTTAATTATGGAATCAGAAGTAATATCTAAAATGAACACGCAAATCTACATAAATGTGATTGTAATGAGTTTAGCTGCAGAGCCAAACATTCAGAAGTTTGCTAAGAGAATTCAGGTACTTCAGCATCACCTCCTGCACCCCTCAGTCACAATTTCCTTTAATACTACTTGCCAGGTTGCCAGCAGTGGGAGTCAACTCCACACATTCCACATGGAAAGGCAGGGGTTTCCTCTGTTAGCTCATGGCAGCTCGGAGCTGTTACAGCCCAACTCCAGAGCAGGCCCAGGAGCCACACTGCTCATGCAAGGGTGACAATCACATCAGTTTTTTGATTCAATGAATGGCGTAACTTTGTTCAAGAAACAGCAGCTTCCTGTCTACTTTTTTATTAAATATTGTCAATGCCTCCTCCTTCCCTTTTTCATGTGTATATTAACTCCCAAACCTGGCAGTAATGTGCCTCCTGGTCTGGAGGGCACAGGATATTAACTCCCAAACCTGGCAGTAATGGGAAATTCTTTGTGTATTCTCTATTTTATGGTACCCAACTGTGCCACTCGAGTGCTTCATGGCTTTAGAGACTCCACCTGCAGAAGAGTCTTGGAAAGTAAGAAGTTTTCTGCCTCCAGTTTGTATTTAGAGAATTGCATGTTTATGGCCATAGAGGGAAGGAGGAAAATGACACCACTTGGGAGCTCTTTACTGCCTGGATGCCAAACTTGAGACATCTTCTGCTCAGCATTTTGGGGTAGCTTCACTCTGGCAGTTCTTATCAACTCAGAATTTCCAGAAGTGAGAACACCATGACACCCACTAGTCAATGTCCAGTCTAAGCCAACTGTGTCTTTGAGAGAAATAAATGGAAATAAGTGCCTCCAAGGACAATCTCTTCTATTCTGTCCTACATTAGTTCCTCAGGATTTCCCTGCCTGGATCTGCCTTAATGGGTTTCTAACAGTGTTAGTACAAATTCTTTTTCTCCAGCTGTATGAGTTTGGCACCTTACAAGAACAGTTTTATGTGAAATCCATAGATTTGAATAAATCCAAAAATGGCTAGCACCACTTCTGAAGGTTACTCATAAAATGAGCAGCCAGATTAACAGGCTAGGAAAACTAAATTAAGTAAGTGTGGCTGCTTCACTCCCATATTGGAAGCTTCTCCCTTTTCTAGCCCCAGAGGAAAAAGCCAGCAGCCCAGCAGAAGGAAGCAGAAGCCCTGTGGAACAGCAGTGTGTGCTGGACCCTGCCAGGAAGGGTGTTCTGCAGCAATGCCCTGACACCTGCAGGCCCTCGGGTGGATGATTTGGGGGTTGAGGCAGGAAAGCCAAGCAGGAGAACCTGGGCAGTCAGGCAGCCACGTGCTCCTGAGACTGTGAGGGCTCCAGAGCACTTCTGGCTGCAGACAGGAGCCCGCTGCTGAGTCTGGGGAGGGCCTCTGGGCAGGGAGGCACGGAAGTGATCCTGAACACGGGACTTCTCCAGCAGATGGTGGTCATGGACCTTCCTGCACACAGGCAGCCCCCGTGGTGGGGGAGAGGTCCCTATGGACTGGAGGAGCTACAGAAAAGGGCAAATCCAGCATCCCACTCCTGTCCTGTCAGTGGAGCACTCTGGGCAGGAGTGGAGCCACCTCCTTACATGTCAGCAAATTGTGCTGACCTTTCTCATGGTCACCACAGCCTGTGGGGTCTGGGACAGGGCTGAACTCATCCCAACACAGCAGGCTGGCACAGATCAGATAAAACAGGCCCTAAAGGACCTATTTCTTTTCATGATCATCAAATTCAGCTGAGGTCAATAGCTCAGGTACAGATATTCCAGCACAGCAATCCTTACACTCCTGCAGGAGCAGGCACTGGTTGTGTATGTGGGCAGGGGAACCTTTGAGAAAGAATTTAAATGGCAACATGGAAGGTGAAGGAACAGGATGTCCCAAAGAACTGAATTTCCCTCAAAGGCTCAGGTTAACAGAAGCTGTCAGGGGCAGCATGATGTAACTTTAAATGTCAGACACTGCAAACTTGTGGAAGGGGTGACTCTGCTGAAAGGCTAAACAGGAAACAGGCCAGTGGCACTTACACCACCATGCAGGGGAACCTACAGCTCAGCTAAGAAGGCAAGCCATAAAATCCTGTTATCCTTAAGTCCTGTCCTGAAGAAGAGGATAGAGGCTGACAAGGATCTAACAATGGAGAGCAGATGCACAAATGGAGTGCCAAGACAGCCTAACTGGATCATCCCATTCCCTAGCTCCTTTAACTATTTGTCCTACAGTGTTTGCTGACTTGAAAAATTATTGATACAATGAAAAAGTGAAATTGGTTCAAGTGTGTAACATTAAAAATTATACAAAATTAACCAAGCTGCATTTCTTACTGCACAGATAAAACTGTAATGTTCATAGTTGTTAACCCTAACAGAAAAGTCCTTCAAAAGAAATGTCTTCACAGAAAAACATCTGTCAAACCTTCACAGCAAGGTCTGACAGAAAGAGTCCATTGAGGTCATTCCAGTTGATCTTTTTGACTAACACTCAGCGAGGTCACAGAACTGACTGGAAACACACCTATAACCATAAATCAGCAGATCTGGAAACTGCACTTTTAAACTGGTCATAAAGTTATTCAGTGAATTTACTTCCACACTGGGCACATAGTGCTTGGCTGATGTTTGGCTGGAGTCCTCTTCCAATATATTAAAAGAAACAACAAATATAGGTTTACATTTATGTAAATAAAGACAGAAACATATTTCTGCAGTGGTGACAGCCTGTAACTTCCTTGCACTTCTAATGTGTAATTTCTTTTCTTCTAGCCTAAAAAAGGACTTTTTATTTTCAATACCCCATGAGAAATTTTAAACATTGTTTTGGGAGGTCTCAAACTCAACTCATTAGCGGGTCTGATTTTTCTTTTCCCATTTATTTTTATTACTTTAAAATACAAAAGGATGAGTAAGTATGTATGTGAAATGTCTCATGGACTTTTTGCAGCCTTGGTTAGATTGCAGAAACCTCAAAAAAGAAAGCTGAAACCCACACTGCAGGGATTAACAGAGCCCAGGGAAGAAAACAGAGCATTACTTACACAGTCTTTTTGTCCTGTCGCAGGAGTTTGGAAGAAAATTCACTTAGCACTTCCAGGAAAGCAAGGTTAGGAGGTGGATAGTCTTGTCCTTTTTGATTCTGGTATTTGAAGGCAAACTCTATGCCATCTCTACAGTACAGAAATATTAACATGTTCAGACATTTGCAACAAAAAATAAACAAAAAACCCCAAAATCCAAAAACCAAAAGAGCAAACAAAAAGCCCCACCTGAAACCCAAACAAGTTACTCCAAATCTGAGCCGTAATGAAACCGTTTGTATCCTCAGGTCCCATCACAATGTCATTCCCCATTACTAGCAAACAGCTGCTTTTGGACAAGGGAATGCAGAGTTCCCTGTGGATTTGTGAGGCCCCCCTCAGGTAAGCACTTGGCCAGTCCCTCTAAGAGGGGACTGTGGGAACTGGGCAGGTGCAGCCCGGGGCAGGAGCTCCATGGAATGTGTCAGATCCAACAGGAGCCAACCTCTGCAGCCAGAGCAGGGAACTGAGTCCCCAGAGCAGGGACACACTCTGTTCTGCTTTGTCTCACCTGTGACTGAAGAGAACACTGTCCCTTCCCTCACCCAGCAAAGCACAAGTGTCCCCTGACTCCTGCCTGGCTGAGGACAGCATCTGGTGCATCCTGACCGAGCCGTGCTGATCTTGGTCCCAAGGTCTGAGTCTCTGAGACAGCAAACCTTAGCACTTGAACTTTTGAATGGCTAGGCAAAGTCAGAATTCAAATTTAGCAGAACCTTCCCACACTTTCTATGCAGCAGTTGCATAAAAATTTTCAGTCCACTTTAAAAGATTTCCAAAATACTTTCAGAGAATCTTTCTATAAAAGCCCTTGGTTCCTCCAGAATCCACAGTGGTGTGGAACAAAGAACCATCCTCAGCTGTTAGACACAACCCACCTGAGATAAACAAACATAACCATGCCAATAAATTCCAAGAAATAATTAGGTAGCAGCTAGTTTGTTTACTTTCTACCTACATACATGTAGACCCCTCAAATTAAAATAGAAAAAAATATATAACTATTCCATGGCCTGTTGAGATTATGTATCCTGAGAAAGGGAATGCTGAACAAGAGTTTTAATCTGAAGTAGTGTAAAAATCTAGTTTATTTACCACCACTCACTTGTGTAGTGTGGCCACAGCCTCTCTTGTCTTGATCTGATCCAAGCCAAAAGTGAGGGCAAACCGCCGGGCCAGCTCCTTAATGCCACTGACATGGGCAGATGTCCTGTCCAGGTTGGGACCTTGCTCCTGAACAAGCTCATTGAACAGCTGCAGAGAGAGTTCAGAGGTTGACATCTGTGAGCTGGGAAACACTTATTGAGAAAGACTTGGGTTCTAAACCTGCTCCATCTGAGAATGGTCTTTGTGATGACTTTTTGCACTGAGACATAACGGAGTCCCTGTCACTTACCAGAATTTCTTCTGTCCCTCTGCTGTTTGCCAGCTGTCCCCCACCTTGTACTTGTGTGGAGTACACCCTCCCTGAATTCCATCTATCATTCTCCCAACTCATCAAGAAGGTCTTGCATTCTCATGCTGTTCTCTTAAGCACCTCCATCACCCATCAGATCTAGTGGTGCTTTAATTTTGGGGATCAAAACTGCAGCTCCTCCACTGTAGCCTCAGTGCCTGTTTGCCCAGCGCTGCTGCCTCCAAGGCCCTCCCAGCACAGTATTGAAGTGCTTGATGCTTTTCCAACCAGTTCTACCTCTCCTGGCACTGCCATTTACACCCCATCTCTCTCACTGGTTGCTGAGAGCATCCTGGCAGACAGTGCCAGGATATTAAATCAGGCTGCATTACAGCCACTGCTTCTCTCATCTCCACAAGCTCTGTTACCATGTAATTAAAGACAGCAGCTTAATTGGACAGGATTCCTACTCAACAAATCCACACTGGCTGCTACCTATCACTGAGGCATTTGCAGAGCTCCTCTCATTACTTTTTTCATGGAATTTTGTCAGCCTGACTGATCTGTGGCACCTGCTCCCTCCTCTCCAAGTTCTACATGGGCTGCTTTGACACACCCTGATTCTTCTGGAAGTACATCTGTTTTTCTCAGGTTTGCACAGATCTCTCTTCAGCTTCCAGATTGCTACAGCAAATCCCTTAGGAAGGGATTTTGGGAGATCCAGCTCAATTGAGAGCATCTAATTAGCAGAAGTAATTTCTCTGAGCAATGGCTATGGCTGGTACTTCAAGGGCCTAAGTGGTATTTAGTGCACTTTGTGCTGTTGGTTGATAGATTTCATCACCAGGCAGTAATTTACGGTTGATGTAAAGTGAATTTTTCTGGGAAAAAACACATCTAACAGTATTGGAAGACTTAATTAGCTTGAAATTTGAAAAATTCATCAGTATTTAGACAAAGTATAAGGAAGATGCATTACTTCAGCAAATGCAAAGAAGAAAAAGCCATCCTAGTTCTTCTTGTTGACTCAGGATCAATAAACAAATGCCATGAATCAGCTTGGACCAAACTGCCCCCAAGGCTCTTCTCTCCCTCCCTTCCATTTTTATCTGCCCAAGCTTTGCCAGTGCGAGCCTATGGCGACAGAGAATACTGAGACAAAAGACAGAGATTACTGAGACAAAGGGGCAGTGACAGCCTGAGCTGGAGAGCAGGAAAATGAAGAAAATGTCCTAAGGAAGTGCAGCATTTCTGCTTTCCTGTAAAGTGCATCAGAGGAAATCCTGGCCAGGGCTTTTTGCAATGAGGCATTTGTAACAAAAAAATCAACGCTCTTACCTGTTGCAAACTGAGAATGAGTGTCTTTGCACACTGGATTTTATCAATTTGCCTGGTTTTGCTCAAGGTTTCCTTAATGATATCTCCATAGTCGTTGTAGTACTAAAAACAAATGTGGAAAAAAAAAACCAACTTTAAATCAAATCTCTTATACAATTTCTTACAGTTTTCCCAAGAGAAAGATTACTTGTAATTCTTGATTTGAAAAAGCAGGAGTTGCTCAAATCCAGATTTTGGTGTGAGTGAGACGCAATGTTTCAGTACCAAAATTTAAACCAAACCCTGTGATAAGGTAAGGAACTTCTGTATTTATTTTCTTTTGTAACAAACATGTTGAAAACCAAACAAAAGAGCATTTCCTGCCCCAAACTAAGCACTTGATGAAGGTGACCCATGGCTGCCAGTTCCAAGCAACAACATGACATTGGTCCTACATCCCCTTAAGAAGCAGGTGTGAACAGACACCAGCACAGAGGTGTGTGCTCCTTGTGCACTGAGGGGAAAGGAAGTCACTAAAGCCAAAAAGTGGAGGAAAGAATGAGTCAGCACAGAGTGCTGTTTCTCTTTATGTTAACAGAATGGTTGCTGAAAGCCACAGCCTATGGTACTGCCCATCTGGGTAGAAAAGCTGTACTATCATTACAAATTCCAAGCTGAGAATATATATTTTTTCCAACAGTTTTCTTTCAGCCTCATTGATGTTTCTGCATTTGCAGTCACTTATTTTCATTCCCTCGAAAATATTGCTTTTGCCTTCGTTGGTACTAAATTAAATTAAATTTCTCTCCCTCTTCCCCAGTTTTAAGAGAAGGAGGGGTGTGGGGAGAGGAGAAACCCAACCTAGAACAGCAGGGAGGGAACTCACCTGGATGGTGACAGCTTCAGTTTCAAACTCCCACTCTGGCAAACAATCCCTAAGCAAGACTAACCCTGACTGATGGCTACAGTGTGTCCTAGGAATTTTATTTTGCCGTGTGTGCCTGATGAACGGGGGAATTTTAAGTAAAACCCTTTATGTTTCACATCAACATTTCAACAGTGTCTAGAGTAAAGGATCTGCTTTGTCTTCCAGTTCTTCCCCCTGGATTGTCACCTCTGTGTTGACAATGGCCTGCGGGGACAGGTGGGACAGGGCCTGAGGGGTCAGTGGCAGGACTGCTGATGTGTCTGTTCTGGCAGGTGAGCTCCCATGCACAGGGGCAGCAGGAGCTGAGGTCCTTCTGACCTCCACTGGGCCCAGAAGCTCTGTGGAAGCAGCCAAAGCTGAGAAGACACTCAGTCACACTGACCCACTTACAGCACAACCATACAGAGCTTTTCTGTCCTGCTGTCCTGTTTAAACCAACCTCCTCTGACAAGAACCTCCTCTGCTGCCTCGTGGCAAGCACCAAGCCTGGGAGACTGACAGTGGAGCATGGCATGGAACAGGTAACTTACTGGGGATTCTACAGATGGATCTGAGGAGCAGGGTAAGAAACTCTCTGTAGAGTGGAGCTGCTCTGGAAGTACTCAGCACCTCAGGAGCAGCTTTAGGTGCTGCCTTAAACAAAGCACATGTGCTACAAAGAGGGTGAGGTCAGAGCTCACTGCTGCTCAGTGCCACGTGTCATTTAGAAAGGAGAAAGTACCACTCAGGATCAAATAAAGCTGAAAGAGCTTTCAGCTTTTTGGGCTGTAACCACAGTCCTGGCAGGGATGGCAGGAGAAGCCCTAACACTGCAGACTGGGCTCAGTCAGGACAGGAGGATGCACGGCCTGTACCTTCATATAGTGTTTGAAGATATCTGCTGCTGCATGCATGTCCACAATGTCATAAATTATCAGCTTGCTGAAGGCAGCCAGAAGGTTTCTTCTCTTATGTAAAGCTTCTATTTTGTTGGCTTCATCCTCTTCATCTCCCTCTGAAAGCATCATCAACAACAGAATGTTTGTAAGTAACTGTTAAATTCTAAAACAACATTATCAAAGGGGAGCTTTTAGGAAAAAAATCAATTACTGAACATGAAGCAAGAAGGATTGTTGGAGAAGAAGCTAAAATGAAAGGTGGTAAGTCTTGAGTCCTGCCTACTTGGAAACTTCCAGGGAAATTTAGGAACACATCACTGACCAAGGCTGCTCTCCATAATCCCGAGGAAATCCTGGATATAATCCACATGGAACTGAGTCATTTATTTCCTATATCCTGTGAAAGGCCACAGTGAACTCTTGCTGAATGCTCTTGCTCAAATTCTCTAGCACAGGACATTCACAGAGGCTCCATTAATGTGACTAAGCTATAAATACTTAACAAAAGAAAAATCAGAAGCACCAGTAAACTTCTGCATGCCTTGGACTTTCACATGTGAAATCAATGGCTCTGAACAACAGGAAGAAAATCCAGTTGTAAGAAGCATTAACACTGAATGGCAATGCCATAAATATTAAGTCTCTATGCAAGGCTTTACTCTGTAAATGAAAAATAAACTACACAGATAAAATTTTATATATAGTTGTTATTATATAATGAAAGCATATTCCACAACTTATATAAGAAACTTCAGAGTAGTGACCTTCCAAAAAGTAGGAATACTTCTGAAAACATCTGAACAAACTGATCAGAAAATTCTATTTTCTCCTTTCTTCTGTGTCTGGTATGAAAAAAAGCTGAACATACCCATGCTCTGATTTTCATCATCTTGGTCAATAAACACATGATCCATGACAAAACTGAGAAGTTCTGACTGGAGGCCTGAGTCTGGATTGAACACCAAAGGCTGGAGCCCTTCTCGACCTCCCGTCATCAGCTGGTGACTAAAAATCATCAGGAGATCACAGAGCAGCATGAAAGCCTGCAAGGCAAAAGAGAACGAATGCAGTGACAAGCCAAAAAAGGAAAACAAATTACCACTGATCTAATTTCCAGATATCCCCTGCTACTATTAAACAGCTTCTTAAACTGTTCTCAGGTGCAGCTGTTTATGTGCTGTGAAAAGTAATCCATAATGGCTTCCTCTGCTTTGGAATGCTGTGCCTTTGGTTCCTAGGTCAGGAACTGTGGTAATTACCTTCTCCATGTCCCAGATGACCCATATTAAACTTCCATTTCTTCTCTAGGAAAAGAACTCTAAATCTACCTCTGATTCAAGGCCTGCAGCAAAATTTGTAGTAAAGAGAGCACACCTCTTTTGATAAACAGTCAAAAAAACCAAACAAGTAAAAACATGAACAACACCGAGGGAAAACTCAAGCTGAGTCACTGCCAGACCCACAAAACACAAACAGCCACAGCAAGGAAATTCTTGCAGAATTTAATGGAAAACTCTAGCCAAAAAAGAACCAAGTTTGTATGCACAGATTTCAAATCCAGACAAAAGCCAACCTGGGCAGAATTGTCCATGACTTATGCTCACTACTATTCTACCCTCATTATTTGAGACAGGAAAGAAGGCAGCTGTCACTACCTTCCTTTCTTCCAAGGGCTCACAAATTTCAACCTGGGCAGAATTGTCCATGACTTATGCTCACTACTATTCTACCCTCATTATTTGAGACAGGAAAGAAGGCAGCTGTCACTACCTTCCTTTCTTCCAAGGGCTCATTCCTGCATGGCAGTAACACTGTTTTGCCCCTACATGGTTTCTGTTGGTGTCTCACAGCCAGCTGTCTGCAATTTGATCACATTCAGCACCTTTCCAAAGCCTTTTTATTCATAGCTTCTGTATTTTTAACCTCAGGTTCTGAAAACTTTATAAATTTCCAAAGTAAAATCTGTAAATGTTGAACTTCCTAGTGGCTCCCTTATTTCTGGGAGTATGTTATAAAATCTGAATGAGCTACACTCAGGCAAGAACAGATGCAAATCATTGTAAATTATGTTCTGTTGAGACCTTAGGAACAGATGTTGCTATTTGGGATTTTTCTCCCTTTGATCCAAAAGGCTGTGATTCATTCCAGTGATGATCTCACCTGCTCTAAACTCCCCTGATACTCAATAGAACTGAAGCTCTTCCTAATGCAGACCTCTAAAAAAGAGCAGATGAGTAATGCACTGTTGGTGCTGAGTTCTGTCCAATATAAAGGCAGCAGTGGGCTCAGTCACAGGATATTTATTTCCCTCCAACACTCATGGAAACATTGAAATGTTTCAGTCTTGTTTCTTTAAATACTTCATACGTTTTTCCTTCCTTTGATATGGACATCAACTTTGTCTGGAAAGAATGTCTGGAGCAAGGATCAAGTATGGTAGGGAGACAATACAATTTGCACATAATTCTCAAAAAAAATTTCTCAAATGATTCTCAAAAAAAATCCAGTAAAACCAAAGCAATAAGTAGTAGTCCTGCACTCACAGAAATATACTTTTTAAGGAAGAAAACAAAAGCAAATCATAGAAGAGTCAGCTGGAATGGGTCCCAGCCTACTCTGCCCAGGACACTCTCTCTGGGCCTGCCTGGGTGTGGGCTTGTCTGGCCGAGGCTTGAAAACTTCCCTGCAACTGGGAACTGCAAAGGAGCTTCTAAAGAAAGTTTCAATTATCGCTGAAAAAACCGCTGTGGCCACTGCTAAGAAGAGAACAAACCCATGTTAATACACCTCAAGAACAAACCCATTGCAGGAATGGGAAGGAACATTTGCCATTTCCTGAGGCAGGGAGGATGTCAGGTCCAGCTCAAGCTGGGAGGTATTTGCATGGAGCTAGAAGATATTTTTACATTATACAATATTATTACAATATGCCAAGAGTAACAACTCTGAATATTAAAAAACAATTACTAAAGTAAAACCTGCTGGAAGCCAATGACACACAAGTCTTTTAGAAATACATAAACTACTGACATTTCTGAGCATTTAATGTTTATATTTAGCAACCTGAAGAACAGAGAGTAAATGCCAAGCAGAGCTATCTTTCCGAGAAATAAAAGTGTCTTTTAAGAAGTATTATCTTTTAAATACCACAGGCAAAAAGCACAGGCCAGTTATTAGTTATACTCTGCAAATGCTGGGGAGGTCTGATAGAAATGCCATTTGTAGACAAATGTCATTGCCATAAATCAGTGTATATTCACATAACCTCAGCTAACAAACCAGCTACTGTGTCCTGCAGAGACAGACTTAATTATTTCAACAAACCCTTTGATTCAATGGGAAAAAAATCCAAAAAGATTCAGCCCATTTGAGGTCTCAGTCACCCTCCAGAAGTGCCTATTTCCATCTTTTAATTCAGTGTCTGCAGGAAAAGTCTTTCATCTGAGGTGACTGAGTTGGTTGCCTGTAGTTACAAGGGCTGGAAATGAGTCTGAGCATCCAGGTAATCCTTCCTTACTGTTAATCAGAAGTTAATCTGTTATGAGCTGTGCTTTGGAAGTTGTGTTAATACAGCTGCTCTTCTGGGCTGTTTGTTCAGATTTATTTAGACAGGAGCACAGATTATTTTACTTTAAGTTTGATGTAGTGTTGTCTTGAGTTTTACTACAATTTAACACTCACATTTTTATAAGAGACAGACATTTCCTTTACCTGTTCTTTGACTGGAGTGTTGACATTTGATAGACACTGCTGGCAGACAGCCAGGAAGGATTTCACAGTTTTCCTCAATACCAACAAATCCTCCTGGAATAAACATTAAAAAAGAAAGTATATAAAAATTAGTAAGAGGTTTCTTGGAGGAAGCAAAATCAAGAAATGGTGATGATTTCATACATTCAACAAAAAGCTGTGAAAGAAATAAGCTATTCAAAAAGTACACATACAGAAACAGTCCCTTAGTTTTACAGTGATGAGGAACCAATCACCTGAAAGAAAACAAGAACCCAACATTAAATGAAATGAGATGAATTCATAGCAGGATGCCTGGCCCATGCTCTGCAGACCTTCCTCCAGGACAGCCCTCCAGCTTCCTTCCACATGGAAGAGAGAATGTCCTGCAGAACAAGCTCCAAGCAAATGTGAAGAACCTACATAATGCCCATGCAATGTTTTCCTTGCTGAAATGTTTTACTGATGCTGGCTGTTCAGCCCATGTGTCTCAGTTCTGGTTTTAGCTTTTCTTGTGCTTCCTGCCACGAGCTCTCGTTGTTCTGTGTTTACTGCGGAGCCTTTTTGTGGGCCATATGTTCCCTGTGCTGGTTCACAGCACAGCACAGGACTGCCAGCGTGCCCAAGCAGCCAGAGTGTTCCTAAAGCTCTCAATTTCTCATCACTTCCAGTGGAGTGAGTGGGATTTGCTGATATGGACACTCAAGGTCTGTGCACTCCCTCACCTTCCTATTCCTGAGCAGTTTTTCTGATGATGCAGCCATAGTGCCACTGCATTACCCTGCCATTACAGAATCCCTAAGACAGTTCTGCTCTGTTCTAATCCACAACTTGCCATTAATCACCCCTCTTTTTTTCATGAATATAAACCTTCCACTTGGCAGCATTAAGACGCCTCTTTTAAAAAATTTTAAATTGTGTTTTGTTCACCAATTGATCTATACCATCCCCATTTTCAGAGCCTTCCCAGATGACTGATAAAAATGACCCTTTTTTTCAGGAGAGACCAGATCTTTGCAGAATGCATCAGAAACCTATTTCATTGTGCAAGGATTGCTCACCTACAATTTTTCTTTAATATATGGATCAGTTTTGAGCTATTGAATATGAGTTACATATTGAGCCTGGAGAAACAAGAGCTCTTTGTGTGTATCTTGGGGAGGGGACTTCAGTAACCTGTGACCAGCTGAAGGTCCAGTTTGGAATTTGTAGGTGTTCATTAACATTATAGAAGTGTCCAATATTCTGGTTCTGTATTCTGTAGAGCTGATAGTTATCCTGGAGCTGTATGGCACTGGCTGTAGGTCAATTATGTGCTGTTAAGAAATCATTGAGCTGACTTGATCCTAATTAGATTTAAGCCACAAGAGTTGAGCTTTTCCCTGCCACACACATGGAGGCTCCAGTCCAAAACAGCTGGATCAGGTAGGGAGCCATGATCCAGAACATGCCCAACAGCTGTAATATGAGGTATCCCTCACACAACAATTAATGTGCCCTGGCTTGGCCATAATGCCCAGAACAGCTCCCAAACAAGGACAGGTCTCTCAGGACAGAGCTGTATTTTGGAAGCCACTTGAACACCAGACAAAAAATAACTTCATTCCAAAATGACTCTGTTCCCAGTGTATACCTATGGCTGTCTAGTATGACTCCACCACAGAGTCAATACAAGATGCAAAAATTACCAAGCAATTCTGAACTGCAGCCAAATAATTCCCTTTGAAGGAAACCCTACCAGAATTCTCCATCCCATGTGACAGCTATCCCTGTACCACCTGTGCTGTACTACAGGAATTTATTGTATTTTGTTCAAAAAAATGGAGAAATACAGTGATGGGTGATGAGAATTTTCCAAAGACTCCTTTGTGTCTGGGCATTTGGCCCCAGGGCAGGCAGGACAGGGCTGCTGGAGGCCTCAGCAGTGGGTGAGAGCCCCAGCACCCCAGAGCAGGTGGGGAAGACTGAAAAAAGGTGCTGCAGACAGTGCCCAGGTGCTCTGAGCACTGGGTTCCACAGGGAACCAGCCCATGCATGCTAATGAGAAAGAGGGTGAGAGGGGGAAATGGGAACAAAAGCCAGAATAAGGAATGACAACTATTCCTTTCTTTCTAATAGCTATTTTTAAATGCTACTGTCAGTATTGAAAACAACTCAGAGAATTTACTATGTATTTTTATCACTTTTCTATGCATAAAATGCTTATTTGAGTAGCACTTCAATATAACATCTTTACCTTTTCGATGCTGATGGAAAAGTACAATTATTACTTCAGTTTTCATATAATTTTAATTTGATGTATTACTTTTGAAAAAGCTCTGAAAAAACAGGATGCTGGCCTCTGACTGAGAAAAGAGATAAGAAAAGGTCCTGGAAAAGTCACATGTCACCTTGTCCTGACCATACTTCGTGTGCATTTGCTTTTTATTAGCAATTGTTACTGCCAGTGCCCTGGCATTTCTACTGCAACATAAAGGGTGTAATTAGAAAAGTAAGCAAAGTAACTACACATCAAGATTAAGCAATCTGTGGTCTACAGATCAACAGTATTGCTCACAACTGTTCATGTCAACATTCCTTATCAGTCATGCAAATTGCAGCACTCACAATAAAGTGTGTTAATTATCCTCAGCAATAACAATATAATAATCAGCTGCTATAAAATCCTGATAAAAACTACTTACATTGCTTAGACATATGCATAAATAGATCCTGAAACACGGAACAAATCTGAACATCAACATTTTCTTTGTTATAAATGACAAGAAACAATGCCAAGAACGGAAGTTACAAAGAAATCAGGTGTAACACCTTTCTAGGTAAGTTGTGTTCTGTCAGTAAAATCTGTTTGATCAAATGGCCACTTACTTTGGAAGGGGAGCCCTCAGTGATTTTCACCAGCTGCCAGAGAATAGAGTAGTGGGAACACTGCAGTGCCTGGACAACAATCTGTAACACAAGAACACACAGAATCTCAGCATGCTGCTAACAGCAGGCACAGCAGGAAGTGTATGGAAAATCTATCATGCATTTCGTGGTGAAAAGACAGGAGCAGCTCTTAGCACTTTTTATTTTCAAGGGTATCAAGTTTTCCCTTGTTTGTTTTCAAGTTTGGTGCAATAAGAAATCAGCCAAAAGATTTTTTACTAGAGGCAAAAAAAATACTGTGTAAATCTAGGAAACACCAGAAAACTGCACTGGGGTACAGCAGGAGAGGAAGTACATGACAGAAGTACACTCCAACACCTACATCTCTCAGGCCAGAAGCACCTGTTGAAATATCTCCATACCTGCCTTCACTATTAAACAGCATGGAAATCTGTTCCACTGGCAAATGAACATGTAGCACATTTGCTAAAAAAAAAAAGGAGAAAATACAACTTGTCCCATGGAGAAGACCAGGGTCATATCCCTGGTGCCCAGAAAAGCATCCATGGTGTCTCCTGAACAGCTCAAATCCAGAGGAGGTGCTACAACTGCCAAACTCCTCAGGGTGGCCTGCAGGAAGAAATAGTGAGCAGAGCTCAGATTTCAGGACCCTTCCCCTAAAATCTTATGGGAGCATTTGGAGAACTACACACTGACAGACCCAGAGACTGCGGATGGCTGGCAGCTGCATGGACAGGTTTTATCTGCCAGTCCTGTCCCTCCAGGTAGCACAACTCCAGCATGGAACAGCAACTGCAGAGAGAGGACTTTAACACACTGTGTGGCAATGCCTCCTCTTAGGGCTCTTTCTACAAAATTCTTATTCAGAATTTCATGAGAATTTATTTTTACTAAATGAAGCTGAGTTAGAATTAACAACTGGCTTCTAATCGAAACCAAATCAAAACTTAAAATGTTTAAATGCTGAAGTAGGAATTCTGCAGTTTAAACAGGAACCATGGGAGAATGTGAGATGGTTCCTGTGCTCCTCCATGAGAAACAAAAACTGAACTCTGAGGGAACAAAGTCCAAGATGTGTACCAAAAGAACTCCACTAGGATGTTCTAGTTTCCTGGTTTTCATAAGCTTCATCTTACCTTCCATACACAATAATAATTTGTGATAATTCTAATTGCAGCCAAGGCTTACAATGTTGGGTTTCAGTGTAAACATCAGGACTGATGCAGTGCTTTTCAGAGTCAGGAACATCAGCTATTCCCAACTTTACAGATGAGAATGGTGAGGGAAGGAGCTCAAAAATCACACACAGAACTTTTAAACTTCTGTACAAGCAGACTCTTTAGAACCTCAGACACCCCAGTGATGCAGTGCAGATGCTGTTAAGGGTACCTGTTCTGGCATAGCTCCGTGTTCAATTCCAGTTCTCAGCAATCTGTAGCAGTTACTGAACAGATCCCATTTGGTCAGATCATGAGCACTGCAAAGAGAGGAAATCAAGAGAGATTAATTGTGTTCCTCAGAACCCCCAGCCCAGAGACCTTTGGTGGTTTCCACAGCTGACCAAGCAGCTGCACAGAATCTCACTCCATGCTAAAAGCACAGGTCAGGCTTTCTGATAATCCAGGAAAAATGTTTTACTACATGGGATTTTTTCAGGGAGGAGATAAGCTCTCTCCACACCATACACCTATAAAGGCTACTTAAGCATAGCTGCTGCTTCCCTCTCTAAGTTACCTTTCCTCTTTTGGAAACATTGACAGAACTCCAGAAACACCCTTCCCTGTCATTGCAGCAGAAACTACAGCCAAGCTCTATCAATCAATATCTACTGAATAAAAATGGCTTTAAGCAAAATGAAGTTGTATATTTTTCTACTGTCTCATTTGGAAAAAAAATAATACACATTACCACTAGATATTAAATATCCTGAATATCTGAAGTGAGACCATATGATAACACATGGACATGAGACAGAGATGGTGGCTGCCATCCTACTGTTCCACATTTCAGTCGCACCAATCTGATTTCATCAGTGAGAGGAATAAAAATGACATTAGGGACAAATACTCTGTAAGGCTGTAGCCTTACAGATCTCAACAGCTCATGAAAAGGCTTTTTAATAGAGATGTGAGAAATACAGAAGAAACTGAAAAACATCAGGTTCCCTGCAAGACAAAAATACTCTCTCAGCAAGTAAATTTAAATTTAAAACATTTCTCTGCAGTGGAAATAAACTGACATAATTTGCAACAGTTTGTAATATGTCTATAACAGAGCAAGCCAGCTCAGAATAATCAGAAACTTGCTGACTGAAATACTCACATAGAAGAAGGGACACTGAGACTGAATTGGGAGTCTCAACTGGATGCAGCAGCCTCTTGTATCTGACTCATCCCAGCACCTGGATCACCCAGCCAAGCTCACTCCTCCCACCCCAGTGCCTACCCCGGGTCAAACCATTAACTGCTCTGCTCAGCCAGAAGGAGTAACTCCCTAGTTCCAAAGGGGACAGAGGCTCAACTCAGGACTGGCAATGCCTAGGTCCTTTTGGAACCACCTCCCACACTGGAGCGTGCTAGCCCTGGCAAATGTCACTTGTAAGAGCTTCACAGAAAAGAACCATCACAGTGCACTGTGCACTCCAGGCCTGGGCCATTAAAGCCAAGGTGCACCTTCGCTTCCAGGTCAAATCCACAAGTAGAAGAATAGGGAAACTAAAAAAAAAAGAACTAAAGAACTAAAAATGTAAAATGTGTAAAAATATTTTGTGGACTTAGATGGTCTTTGATGTACTAAAATAAAATGTTTCATAGATAAATTAGAGGCTGCCAGAGAGCTCCCTCTGACTGGAGATATTAAGCACAGAGATGCTGCTTCCATAAATCACAGGGTTGCCAGCAAGGCAGACTGGTACTTCCTTAATTACAGCACTGTAATTAAAGCTGTAAAGTCTCCTTGGTGTGCAGAGGCAGATACCTGCACAGATTATCCTACAGAGAATATGAAAGAAAATACTGTCTCATTCCTGCCTTTTCAGTTCAGAAATTCCCCACCAGGCAGCCAGCACAGGGGCCACGTCCTCACAGCTGGGGACACTCAGCTCCCTGCCCTCTGCCTTACAGCTGAGCTCAGGAAGGGCTCTTCAGCTTCCAGAGCTGAAAAATTCTAACTATGTACAACCTACAGCCTTTCAATTGAAACTTTCTTAAAGCAGAGCCTCCACATTACAGTTAGGCATATTCTGGTACCTCTTTGTCTCTTCTGAGCTACTTAGCCATCAAAACCATAGTTATAAAGGCATCTTGGACATGACACAATTCTCCACAGAGGTTCAGGAAGAACATTCACACAACACAGACTTTTCCCTTAGTTCCCTGCATGTCAGATTCCGCATGGATTTCAGAAAACAAGTTCCAGTATTTCACCCAAGGTTTCTTTTAATTCTTATGGACAGCCCTGTCTGCTGGGGCACATTTCTGCTGGACAAGAGGCAGGTGAAGTAAAGGGACCAGTTTCACAGTGTTCCTCAAAGTGTGGCACAAAACAGCTTAGAAAAGTTTATTTTCCAAGAAGTGAACTTTCCACCCACCAAACTGCTTCACTTCTTCAATTGCATGTCAGATTCTGCATGGATTTCAGAAAACAAGTTCCCAGTATTTCAGCCAAGGTTTCTTTTAATTCTTATGGACAGCCCTGTCTGCTGGGGCACATTTCTGCCAGACAAGAGGCAGGTGAAGTAAAGGGACCAGTTTCACAGTGTTCCTCAAAGTGTGGCACAAAACAGCTTAGAAAAGTTTATTTTCCAAGAAGTGAACTTTCCACCCACCAAACTGCTTCACTTCTTCAAGATGCACAAAGAGAGGGAAGTTGTGCCTTGGGCTTTGAGCAGCTGTGCTACTGATACAGTCTAATTTCTCTGATGAGGTTTCATTTATCATCACTTCTACTTCCTGAGTAACTCAGGGATGTACTGGTCAACTACTGGAAAAAATGTTAAGCAAAGAGTTTCTCTAAGAGGAAGAGATGATGTGATCACCAATCCACTGTCTCAGAAGTGTCCTGACTGATCACACTGACCCTGATACACACTGTTTTTATCTGAGAGTTACAGTGCCCGTGAGTCTGTGGAGTCAGTGTGGAGGTGGAAGGAAGTAAATATTGTATCATATCTGAGGACTACTGGACAGTAACAGCAATGCTCCTGGTTTCTAAATGTGAAACAGTGTCCTCCACGCAAGGCAGAGCCAACAGGCACATCCAGGGGAACAGAGGTGATGCTTGGGATGTGTCTTGCATTGGATTTACTGAAGAAGTAAATAAAGGATGCTGAGATTTTGCAGCATACAAACTGCTACAGCACTGATGTGTCATGTGTGAAAGTTCAACTCAATTACAATGGAATAATATAGAAAAAAATTGCCTCCATGTTCTTAAATGGTTTGACTATCTGTGAGATTCTGGCAAACAATATCCCAAGTGGATACTCCAGGAGGTCTACTCAGAAGATCTCAGGAGAATTTATTATTGTATTCTGAAAATGTGGAAAGAATCTTTTCAGTGATGAGTTTGATTTGTATTGATACATGATTTCCTTGTTTTGATGAATCAAAAAGTCTGCTGTGAGCCCTTTGCTGTCATGGCCCTCTCAGAACGAGGATTAGCTCAGGCTTGGGGAACGTCAGTACAGAAGCCTTTTGGTCTTGAAGGCTTTTCTCATAAGGCCTTGCACCATGTATTTTCCACCTTGCTTTTTCTTCAAGTATGAAGCAGCAGCTATTACCAAGGGGAAAAAAACATGGAGAAAATACATTGGAGTTTCTCTCACTGGAAGAAGACAGGACTTGTTTCTTCTCAAAGCCCCAGCAACCATTTCATCAGTGCCCATTCAGGAGATCTCCTGATTTGGTTTCTTTTGACTCCCAGGTGCCAACAGCCAATGACAGAGTCAGACCACAGCCACTGTGCTTTGAGACAGAACACTCCACGTGCATTTGGAATTACAGATCCTCTCTCACAGCTAAAGGTTCAGCAGAAATTCTGGCTCACATGGTGTAATTGTTTCCTATTACAGAGAGATCACATCACATGTAATGAAGATCTCATTACTTCTTCATATGCAAGCAGATATTAGGAATTCCTGTTGAACCACAGTCATAAATAACCTATCAGCTGAGGAATGATACATTAGCTGTTCTGCAGCTCTTCAGCTCTGATGCTTTGCTCTTTCCTGGCTTTTTGAAGGTGAAAGTAGATGTCTGTGACTCTGATTTGTATGTTATTCTACAAAACTTCTTTATGGTCTGAATTAACCTGGAACTCTGAAGGAAAAAAATATATATGGGAGCCACTCAGGAAAGCCTTAAGATTTTGCTTCTCTCCTGGATGTGAAGTAGAGCTTTCCCCAGTTCCCCTCAGGAAAGGCAGACATGGCTCCAGTGGGTTACCAGGGAGACTGCAAACCTCATTTGCACATGTGTCAGCCCGCTGCACTGTGGAAATTAGTAACAATTTAATGATCTTTGTGGGATTCTCCTTGAATGGCAACAAAGAGTAGAGATTGCAGAATCATTTCAGACAGTGATCCAATGCAGCATTCAGGATAAGTGAAGTCTAAGCACAGAGAGAGAAACGAAATCACAAAGTCGTAAAAATACCAAGTTGTATGAAAGAGTTGGCAGAAGGAAGGTCCTCTCCCACATTGTGATAAAGAAATGATTTGTGGCTCTCTGCCACCTGCACATGAAGCTTTCTCTCATGCTGACAGGAGCAAATGCTTCCTGCAGTTAGAGGGAAGATCAGGCCTTTGTGATGTGCTCCAGAATTCACAGTTCCAGTGAAGTTCTCCAGGTTGCTCTGCACATGCTGAGGATGCCTGTAGGTCTGAGAGCAGCAGGAACCTCAAAAGCTGATTTGTGCCTGGTGAGGGAGAGTCTGCACAATTCACACAGGGAAATTAGGCCAACAATCAACTGCAGGAAGAAAATGCATCTCCCAGGCTCTCACCATAAACTATTAATTATTATTATTGCTACTACTAATTAATTCTATAATTCTGAGGAGATGTAGCTCAAAGGCATTGAGAAACAGCTTCCTGTAGGCTCCCTAAGCTGATGCCCAAAGCACAGGTTTGTGGCAGGGAAGTGTCCCTTGTGCCCTGACTGTGCCATGCAGGGGGAGCAGGACCTGTAGTCATTCACTCACGGGTGTAAGAGCACTGGGTGCAAGGGAGGGTTTCCAAGAAGTGTCCCCTGTGCCCTGACTGTGCCATGCAGGGCAGCAGCACCTGTAGTCATTCACTCACGGGTGTAAGAGCACTGGGTGCAAGGGAGGGTTTCCACGTGCAAATCCCATCTGCCAAGGTCATGGCATGAACTGAGCATGGACCCAGATCAACCCAGACACTTCTACCGACAAACACCACCTCCATCTCCACTTCAGATTTCAGGCCACGTGTTTTCTCATTTCCCCACACCTGACACTGCTGATACTCGCTGAAAGGACAAAATTAACATCACAAATTTGTGAGGGAAGACACCACCTACTTGTGGAAAGATGTCAACCTCTTCAGTGTGGAGAGCACATTGTATATGTCATCATCATCAGCTTCTTCTCCCTGCAAAGGAAAGGCAATCCATGAGGAGAGTCCAGCAATTCAGCCCAGTACATTACTGCACAGGCAGCAGCAGCTTCTTAGGGGTTTAAACTGATATGAAAATTGTCTCCAAAATTTCCAGTGACTTCTACGTAGATTCCATAATATTTAAGTAGCCACTGCACAGCACTAAAACCCAAGCAAGATCATCTGAGAATATTCAGCATTATCACTGTGTTAATATCCAAACCTGTATCCTTTAGCAATAGAAATCATTCCCAAGACCAAAATCTGAGTTCTATCTTATTTTATAAAAAGGACTGAGCCACCAGCTTTAATCACTAATTTAGCTGATGAATGTGCTACAACACAATTTAAGAATTTTCTGTAAACTAAACAGCAAATTCCCTTAGTGAATCAAGTGAAAATAAGGTATTCCCAACCCTAATTTTTCCAGCAATTTTCTAAAACAAGAAACCCACTTGCAAGAATTCTTCTTCTCCATCTCACTTTGATAATTTCTTTTCCATCTAAAAGCCTAACAATTAAAACATCTTCCTGCCTTCAGATGCAATTGTCAATCAATGTTTCTCCCATTATCAGCCCAGATACTTGCTTAGGCACCAGTACGCAATTTTTAAAATGTGAAATGTCTTTCAAATGATGAAACAGACTTATTCAAATAAATTATTCAAACAAATATCACTTTAAGAAGAATATCACAAAAGCCATAATTTAAAATCCTTGCTACTGCTGTTCTCATTCTTCCAGGTTTCAGACTTGTATCTTTTACTCTTTCCAGGGTTCTTTTAATATACCATTAAACATATTTTCTGAAATCCTCTCTTTCATTCAAAATATAATCCAATCTTGATTTTGCTGTCTACATATGCATCTGGGACTATGGGAATCACTAAAAACATTAATGTAGATACAACTTCCTCTGCATTTTTAATTATTTTTCACCCATTTGTCTACTTAATTCCTTATGTAGACTGTTTTAATACTCAACTAAATTTTCAGAAGCAGGATTTTCCCATAGTCTTGTTTTACACCATCAATTATTTGAAGGCTTAATGGCTACGGTAAGGGACTTTCCACAGGGAGAAGTGACTCCAAATAATTACGAAATAGCTGCTGCTGCACTACATCTTCAGCTGAATCATTTCATGGCTTGCTAAGAATGATTTTCTGTAGCCTATCCTACCATATTTTAGTCAGTTCAAAAATTTTAAGAAACAAACCTCCTGAAGGAGATCCTCGACAGAATGGTTAAATCGATCCACAAATTCGTCAATAAGCTGGCTGTGGGCTATGTCAACTCTGTTCTGGATGGTGTATTCCTCACTGCAGAGGATGCTGTAGGTTTTGCTGCAGGCTTCCAGAACATCTGATTCCACATGCTTTTCCACAACAAACTTAATCTGCTTCAGTAAGGCATCCAGATGCTGCAGAGCAGAAAAGAACTTCAGCTTTTCCCTCAATGGGACAATGACACTGAGCAAAGCCACTGCCAGAACACCCGACCAAGGCTGCATTGCTCACGTGCCAAACAACGGCACAGCACTGTGGGGCTGAACAGGGGTCACACCTGAGAGCAGCCACACTTCCTGCCCAAGGCACGATACCTTTTCCATTCTGCCCGTGCTGTAGATTTCCAGGTCAAAGTACTGAGGGATTTGCAGGAGGTTTGCAACCTTCTCGGCGTCAGCAGAATACTGGAACATCATGGCAACACAACAAACAACAGGGAAGTAAAAATAAACTCCTGCACTACAGAATGAGAAAGTTTAAAGACAGTTGTAAAGCCCAGTGAAAGATTCATTTTGTTGAAAACTCTACCTTTGATAGCAGCATGGGAAGTGCAATAATGAAATGCTCAGTCAATTTATTTCTGTCATCTATCTGAGTTTTTCTTTCTTTTGCTGTCAAGACCTGGAAGTGATCAAACATAACTACAGTAAATACATTTTCTGCATATAGCATTCATTAACTTTTCCAAACATTGTATTACAAACAAAAACCCATGCAAGTGTATTTTTTAATAAATCAAACAAGGAGGGAATAAAAAAACCTCAAAACACATTTGGGCTGAAGAGTGATTAAAGAGGGAGGACTGTGTCTCCTAAGCAGCTGTGACTGAAAAGAAAAATACCATTATCACCCAGCATGACATTGTCTCCACACACCAACATCTTTTTAGGATTGAAATTCAAATATAACCCCAGTCAGTGGAATGTTTGCTATTGCTTCCAACTCTACTGAACTCTGGCTTTCACACATTAAACCAAGCATTAATGTAAGACCTCAGGGCAAACTGAAGTATAATTAAGAAAACCAAAACCAAACCACACTGTAGCAATGATTTTCATTAGCAGATTCATGGCCTCCTCTCTAAATGGAATGGAATTCTCAGTGAGAATGTACATCCAAGTTCACAGTGAGGTACTGTAGCACTAATGCTGGCAGAACAAAACCCCCTTGAACAGTGACCAGAGAGACAATAATCAAACCAGCATGCTTCATTAAAGCTTAGATCTGGCTTCCTGGCTTCAGGAAAGAAAAGAATACTTTTGAGAACAAATAATGATAATAAAATATTCAAGTTAGCTAATGATTCACTTACAGCCAATCAGCCAGACTGCACAATAAGGGTTACAAGCTAAAGAAAGAGGAGAAACTATCTCACAAGAAGGTGAGTGCTTAATTAGAAATCTGTTCCCTTTTCAACTCAGGGAAGAATCATGGTGGGATCATGAGACAGGATGCATCTCCAGGGATAAGGCAGAGATCCCTGCAGTTACCATCCCACAACTCATGGTCTAACTGAAAAGAAGCAAAAGCTAAGTGTCACTTCTGCATGGCTGTGCAAAGGAGGAGGAGCAGCTGGACACAAGGCAGGTGCTTGGATGCCAGGCACTGTGCCAGCAGGAACCCAAAACAGCCATGGAAGTGGGGGGGAATGGATCAGGGACCAGGACAAGACACCACTTGCACAGTGCAAGGTGCAGAGATGGCTCCAGGGCAGCCTCAGCCCCTGCACACTCACCAGGGCAACATCAGCAAAGTTCAGAGCAGTGCAAACCCAGATCAGAATCCCAACCCTGACAGCCCAGTCGTGTTCTGGGGACCAAATACGGCTGTTCCCTGGCACTGGGAATTGATCTGTGTCCCCAGCATGACTTCCAGGCCCTTCTGATCATCCTTCAGAAGGTGGAATTTGTTTTACTGATCTGTTTTCTTTAGCTCCAAGTACAGACATTGGAAACTTAAGACTAAGCAATTTGCTGAACTTCAGTGAATTGAGCTGTAGATCTCTTGAGAAAGAGAAAATACCTGGAAAATGAATACTGACATAATTTGGTTCTCCAAACAGAAAATACCACATGATTTTTTTTTTAATTTAAAGGTGCCTTTGATTGCTAGAAAGGTTTGCAGCTTGAGACAAAAAAAGTTGTGCTTACAATACAGTTTTTGTAACAAAAGATAAGACATGCTTGTGCAAATTTCAGTAAGTGCTTTCATGGATTCCCTCCTTAACCCTGAAATGTTTTAATGAATTAGGAATTCCTAAGAACACGCTTTATAAATTAAAGTACATTAATCATGTTTAAACTGATGGTTTCTTGGAGCTTTTCCTGGGATGCTGTTTCTGGACATGAGACTAATCTGCTCTGGCACATAAAAAAATTAAGAAGTAACTGAATTATTTTAGCAATAGAGAATGCCAAGACTCTCCAGATTTTATCTCTATTAAATCTGTGGCTTTAACAAACTAGTTATGATTATTTAGAATGGATGCTAAAAGAAGAACCATATGTTCACATGGGTTTATTCCACTTTCATCTATCCTAAATAAGATGGGGACTACCAAAAATCAAGTGAATGTGTTTAAGAAGCTGAGACTGCTTTGGAACATGGATGCTGTATTTATGGAAAATACAGCTGAAAAGCCTGTCATTACCCTGACCCAGCGATTTAGAATCAAGTGTTTAAAACTGCATGTCCAGCCTTAGGAATGGCATTCCACTGGTGCTCAAACAGTCCCTATAAAATAAACTAAAGAGGCAATCTGGCCAGAATGTAAAGTTCTGGAAATTTTTGCGCACTCAGTGGAAGAGACCTAAGAGGATGGATGCCTAAAAGAATGGTCATTTAGATGGTCCCAGTCCCACCCCTCCTGCTCAAAGCAGAGCCAGCCTCCCAGGAACACTGGTAGGATCAGGGCTTTGTCCAGTCAGGTCTCAAAAACGACCGAGCACGGAAAGGGCACCAACTCTCAGTACCCATTCCAGTGCTTAAACACCCTCATGATGGAGATCCTTTGACTTTTCTGTAATTTTAATGTCCATAATAGCAGCACATTCATTTTTATGGAACATAGTCAGAGGTAGTCTGCTCTGCTCCTACACTTTCCACTCTAGTCTAGGTTTAACATTAGGGGCTGATGATGTGGGTACATTACACATATAAGGCAGGGATATGATAAAAAGAACATGCAAAAATATAATAAAAAAATACTTTTATGCTGAAAATTTATATTGCTTAACTTGCCCATGCAAACCCCAAAATCAAACAAAGAAAAAACCAAACGTGTCCAGAAATGGAATTTTTCTTAGAAGCATTCAGATGAAACAGCAAACACCGATTAAAAAACTCTACTGCAAGAGTGTCCAACATGTTACAAGTATTTTCCATGCTCTGGTGACAGGCAGGCAGCTGCAGCCCCACTCACCCTCTTGCCGGTGCCCCTGCCCACGGGGGGATGTGCCTCGGCGGCCTGCCGGATGGTGCACACCATCAGCTCGATCAGAGCGCTCTCCTGCCGGTCCGACATCGCTGCGGGGACAACAGGGCATCACTGGGGGCAAGGCAGCACCACGGGGACACCAGTGGGACAGCAGGGGAGCACACAGCAGCACACAACACCACACACAAGGTACACTGTCACATTTATTGAGGCTTTCCTGCTGCCTCTTTGATCTGCCATTCACGTCCTCTCAAAATGGACATGGCAGAAGTAAAAGCAACCCAGAGAAATGTAGGTTGGGGAAAAGGATCAATGAAGGGGAACACAAGGAAGATCTACAAAATGAGGGAGAGTGACAGAGGAGAAACAGTGACAGACAACTCACTGTCATTTCCCCATAAATTCTCTGCTCTTTGGCAAGTGCTTCTGCTCACATTTGGAGGCTCAAACCCCACTAGGCTAAGCAGAATCAATTTCCTAACAAAATTACCCTATAAATACCCACACTGTAGCAGGTGCATACCAAAAGGCCAGCCATTGAAGCATGGACATGATGAGCACGCCTTGCCAGGAACATTTATTTTTCAAACACCTAAGCCCTGTGAAGGGCCCTGAAGCAGGAGAATCCTGAGGAATTATAAAGGATCTTCAATGACACTCATTAACCTCAGGACACTTTGCTCCCAGCCTCCCTGGCTACTTTGTGCACCCAGGTCTATTATCAGCAAAAGGAAATATGAAACTAATGGTGCAAGAATCCCCTTTGTTTTTACTCTTGAGAATTTATTGTGTTCACATTGCCTGGAAAAGCCCCATATTAACTAGCATCACCTGAAGTGCTTGTTTATTCAAAATTGTATTAGCTATTTAATTTATTGAAATTGTTATTTAAACATTCAGACAAAATCAAGTTAAGACTTGACTAAACTCCCTTTAATATTAGGGAACCACAGTGCAGCACATTTGATTAAAAAAAACCTCCAGAGTACAAATAAAAGGAAAAATAGAGTACAAACTGCTGCTTTTGAAGGAAAGTACATTAAAAATAGATTAACCCAAAATCTTCAAATATGCTTGCCAAACAAACGACAAAATAAAAAGATGTTTCACTGTGGGTGGCAGAGGTATTTAAGGAATGATTAGCAAAACTGTGCAATATCAAGGAAGCACAGGGTTAAGCCAATACCTTCTTCTCCTTGGACTGGCTCCTCCAAGAGCAATTCTGTCATACATTCCCAGTCTTTCAGCAGTTCTTGAGAGCTCTCCCACAAGCTGTCCACCAAATAGGCTGCATGTTCATGCAACTAGAAAATCCAAAGCAACCATCAGTACAGCTCTTGGTATAAGCACCAGTTCTTCAACTGTCATAATCATGTGGCCCAGAGAGTGTCCTGGGCACGTATCTTATGTTACTTGGAAAGAACATTGAGTTTGAAACTAATTCAGGAAGGTTTTCTCGCAACTGGATTACAACAGTGCAGCGGGGTTATGTTTTAACAGAAACAAAATAAAACCAAACGGAGCTTCTTTTGCACAAAGCTACCTGTTTGGGATAAATCTCTCCCAGACTTTTGACCCAGAAGCAGTAAACTTACCTTCCCTCACTTTCTCACTGCATTACAAAAAGGAGAGATGGTGAGGCATGAGAGTTGTAATGTATTTGTTTGAAATGTATAATGTTTGAAAACCAACAAGCAGTTGGTTTTCAAACATGCTGTTATGTGCTCAGAAAAAAAAGGAGCAAAAATCCTGGTGATTTCAGGGGTTACAGATTTAACACTAATTCAACTGCAAAAAATGTTTTCATGTGAATTAACACAACTGTTGTAAAGTGAGAAAAATAATCCATAGGCTTCTGCTGTTTTCTAAACTTATCTTTAACTACTTCCAACATGCACAACACCCAACTTGTGCTTGCCAGGGACTGACTCCTTAGCTGGAAAACATCCCTGAGTGCAGAGAAGGAGGTGTCAGTACATTCCCCTCTTGTTTCTGACAGCTTTGGGCAAAATGTCACAGGGTAAGGTTCACTCCCTTGAATACAGCCCAGACTGCAGTGTTAACTCATCCCACCCACATGCAAACTCCCAATTCTCCAACTCTGTACTAAAATTGGAGTGAGGATATTCAACTTGGCTCCTAACAACTCTCAAAAACAACAACAGCAAAAACTGGCCCTGAGAGAGAAGTGACCCTCAGAGAGCAGCATGGGAGGCACTTTGCTGATCTTGGCTTTGGGAGTGGAGCAGAGCTTCTTTTCTCCTCAGAAGGACAGACAAGGTCAGTGCTCAGCAACTCATCACACTCACATCTAAGGGATGTTTTACACTGTAAAACACAATGAACTTTACAATTTAAGTTTTGAAGAAGCTGGAACTAAAAATCCATTCAGGTGTCAGATTGAAGGCTCACACATGTAGTGACATTTCATCCAGATTAATTTGTAGGTTTATGAGGTGTTTCTAAAAACCAAGAACACTGTACCAAAATTTTGTCCTTCCTTCTCAGCAACTCTGAGTGTTTCTCTTCATTCCCACAGTCAAGTCTCTTGTTCAGGGCTTCATAACAATTAAAATAACCAATTTAATATCTTTACTTTTGATTTTTACCCAAAATATACTATGCTGCCTTCTCTAGAGAAACATTTCTTTCAATCTGCTTATTCTCATGCTTTTTATCAAATCAAATTAATAATTTTGACCCTTTCCCCCTCTATCTTAAGAACATTCTGTACCTGACAGTATCTTCTCTAATTTTCCTCCCTCCACTGCCATTCCCCATCTCTATTAGTGTTACTACAGGTACCACACAATTTCCCATAGATGCTGTCTCTATAAATCATAGGCACAATCCCACCCTGGGTGTGTTCATCAAACACTTCCTGTCACCACATCTATGCTTGTCTTCTTCATCCTCCAACGTTTCTAAGATAAAGCCCTGAGAGACCTCAACTCATCTCACAGCTGACTCTGCTCTGAGCTCAGGACCCCTCAGGTCCTTCCCACTCTGAGTTCATCTATGATTCTAATAACAATTGAAGATACTATGCAATTTTTGTCCCGTCCTGATTCAAATTATTTTACTCCACAAATAATAATTCCAGAGGTATTCTCCTAGCATGGTTATGTAAGCAAAGAACATTTCCATTTGTGTGCAGCAATGCACCCTGGCAGCCACCACATCAGAGCAATGCAGTGTGAGTACAGTGGGGACATGCACGAGTTAAATAAACCATGAAGATTTTCAGATCAATTTCCTTAATGGACAAGGAAATGGAGGGGCAGGGAAAAGGGCTTACGGTATTTCTGAAAATATAAAATAAAAAGACAGACATTTTATTACTGTAAGTTGATAAATCACTACTTAAGTTCCAGGTTTTATAAAACATTTAAAGGTTAAAAATTACTTTTTTACCTCACTTTCAAGAAAGAAAAGAACCAACATTCTAATAAGGTTTCCATTTGGGCTATTTCGCCCCCTTCTCTTTGCTAGAGCCTCTTCAGCTTGGGGATCGTGTCTGCTGAACAGCCTGAAAACAAGCAGAAGGAGCTCATGGCTATCACAACAATTCTCATTTCTGCAAGAATATGATGAGCATTCATTTTTGATATAGTAAATTTGTTCACAAAACAGTGCAAGTATCTCAAGCTATTTCTTTCAAGGGAAAGAGGCCACAACCTCTGCCTGTCTGAAGAGATGAATTTCTCTTCAGTCCTTGAGCTCACAAGGCTGGAAGAATTTCACACAGGAAAAAGGTCTCCAAAACCTACTTACATTGAAGGTTTTGCACAGTTTCAAATATTTGCATCACTTGTACAGTCTTGCATTTATAACTTATCTGGTCTTGCAGTGGAGGCAGCACCTACTGCACCAGTGCACTGGGAGCAAAGGTTGTATCACTCTGGCTGGGACGTGGTAAAAAGAAACCTGACATCCATCAAACAGCCAACCTCAGGTACCAGGAGCAGCATCAAAGATACAACCAGCTCCTACTCATTATTTTGGGTTTTACAGGTAAGTGACACACTCTGCACTGAGTTCCCTGATGCATGGCCCATCCCAAACTGCTTTCAATGCTCAAATTTTCCAAGAGATCTCTGATGTGCCAGTATTACTGTTACAGCAATGACTGTTTAACTTTGAGAAGTTTGAAAGCTGTTCCTGGCTTTAAAGTGAAATCACAAAGCAGATTAACACATGAAACACAGAATTCTGATTTCACTGCTGTAATTCACTGAAGAGAAGGACAAGTTACACACAAATGTTGTATTTTAGTTAAAAACATTACCTCGTCCCCCCTGCTTATCTTAACAGATAAGCAATGAGCACCTCTGCAGGTGCTGAGGTACCTCACAACCTGCACCTCAGGGTTGAGCCAGTGATCCTCTGTACTTGGGATCCTTTATATCCTCTGTACTATTTGCTTTCCTTTGCTAAGCACAGAGAACATGTCTGATGATTATCACAGAGAAAGTGATAGTGAAATGTATTAAATTAGGTGAGATAAATCACACCTCAAATGCCTGAAATAGATTCTAACTTATTTAACTGGAGATTTTCTTTGTGGAAACCAGGAAAAAACTAGTTAAGAATGGGACAATCTTGTCTCCATGCTGTTAGCCTTGAGACACATTTACAGAACACAGCTTAGTACCTTGTAAAAGAAGTCAAAATGAAATTTTGTCTTTTTCCTAAGTGCACTGAGGTATGTCCTCATTTACCTTTGAGGCATTTTTCAAAAGTATTCTGTCACATTTTGATTAATAAAGGAATTTTAGTGTGTGTTTTTAATAAGAACCTAACCCTTTCCAGCAACTAGTACAATGTCTTGTTAATGGAAATCTGCACATATATTTCTTGAAATGGGTAGTGCTTGATCACAAGGCTGGAACTCCAAAAACCCACCAATGAAAGCTTACAGTCGCAATGTGGAGCTGTAAATCCTTAATAGACCATAGAGAAAACCAGATGTCTTTGTGTATTTTTTTCCTATCTGTATCTTGGCATAAAAAAATTAGATAACCTGGGTTCTAATATAAATGCTCTATACATGGAATAAAAAACTCTAATGTCACAACCCATGAGGGGAAAAAGTCAAATTCCTGCTGAAAGATTTTCAACTGCAAATAAAAAGAAGAGTTTAACTCCTATGATGTGGCAATGCCCTGGTTACTGAGGTGGTGTGACTCACATCCATAGAAAAACTGGTTCATGTCCCTTGGCATAGTGTGGACATGAAAGTTGTAAACTCATAATGGAATATATTTTCAGGAGGAGACAGTGAGTTTAGAAACAAATTTTTATAGTTATTGCTACATAAAAACCTCCCAAGTTCACAACAGAGAAATAAACTGGCTTAAAACTTGCTAGAAATTATGACTGTTGATGTATCAGGTAGATCAGCCCAGACTACAAGCCCAATATATGTATCTTACCACACCAGGAATTCAGCAAGTGCTGCAGGACTTAAACCAACTTCAGAAGTTTGTGCAGCCTTTGTATATTTAACCCTGAAGGAGTTGGGAAATGTTATCTGAACTGCAGAGCAAGAAAAATGTACATTCAGTTTCTTCAAGTTCTCAGATCTTGTTTAAACAAGAGAATATAGTCTCTGTTTTAAATGAAATACCTGATTTGCTAAATTGGGATATTTCACTCCACTGCTTCTTTGCTTTTTGATGTTACCTTTCTAGGAAGCATTCACAAAATTGGTCTTATTCCAGGGCAATCGATGACTTACTTTTTGTGGAGGAATTCCCCAGCTGCTACTGCCACAGGCCGGTGTGCTGAGTACACCAGGTGATAAACATTCTCGCAGTCTTCATTGGACAGAGCCTCCTCGCTCCCACTGAAAGAGTCACAGTAACACCTCAGCTACAGCAGAGGTTTCATCTCCATTCCCTCACCTCCCACAGCTCACTTGGGACAGCTGCAAGGTTGGTTCACTTCCCACAAAATGCCACATAGTTGAACAATGACTTCAAGGACCTTTGGTTCAACTTGAAAATACAGAGGTATTTAAAGGGCCTGTAAGACCGGAAGTTTCTCTGATTTCCTTTCCCCCGTTTTATCAATGTAGACATAAAATAGTATTAAAAGATCAGAATGACTGCATACAAACCCTCCCTTGCTTATTCCTTAGACCATCACACAGACTTCCATTCACATACTGCAAGATGCCAAACACTCATCAAACATCATAAACTAAAAACCTGGAATCACAGAATCCTTTAGGTTGGGAAGGACCTCCATGCTCATTGAGTCCAACCATTAACCTGTGCCCTCTGTGTTCACCGCTAATCCATGTCCCCACTTTTGAATTCTTCCCTGGGCAGCCTGTCCCAGAATGTTAGCAAAAATGATATAAAAATACCAGCACTCTCACAACCTGGATATTACCTCCATCCTTGTTTAGTTGGCATCCATCAGAAACATTTATGTACCAGGACTCTAAATCATTTGGCTTCATACTAGACATTATTTTAATTGGTCATTCCCCATCAGGACTGTTCCAGACACCTTTCTGGAATTCCTACCTGCCAGAATATTGCCCTGTGCTCTTCAAGCTGACCCAGCCTCTTCTGGTGCTAAATGCATTTAGTATTTCCTGTGCTTTCAATGGGCAACCAAAAGCAAAGCAGGAAAAAAAAAGTGCACTGGGTAATTTTTGACCTTACAACTTATTGTGTTCCCAAAAATTGCTAATAATACAGGGAAGACGTGCTCTGCATGACATTTCAGATCATATTTGTTATATTTACTTTAAAAATATAACAGTAATACAACAGCAGATGCAAGATTTCATATCTTGCTAACATTACAATTCTAATCTCTTTAAAACAGAGTGACCCATAAATAAAAAGCTGAAGTCTAGACTTTGTTACTAAGGAAAGACTATTGCAATCTTTTGTCCAAATTCTGCATGTCCAAAAACATTCTTCAAAGTGGAGCCACTGGATATAAAATATGAAGCAAAAATTCTCTGCATGTGCTTGTAAACCAGACATTCTTTCATACAGCTTTTAATAAACATATTATAAAAGCCTGGCAGTGCCCCTCCAGGTGCACGCTCATGAGGCTGCTGGGGACAGGCTGTTTCCACATCAGCATGTGGGAGGATGTCTGAGGTGATGCTTACCTCAGGTGACCCATTGCATCCCCACATGGAAAAGCCTGGAAGCAGGTGTCCTTCCACGTGACTCTTTTCAGCTGTGTCAGGAAATCAATCAACTCTCCCTACACTGGATCTGTGTTACTGCTGGAGTTACCCTAGCAAGTGTAACCCACAGCCATTCATTTTGGGAGGACAGTTGTTCTGCCCTTGGCAAAAGGTAGAAATGCCCTTTGGCATTGTTCCACACAATGGATGCACTAATGGCTCCAAAACATCCACACATTCTTACACTTTGCCTCCTACATTTCCATGAAATGAAATACCTAACTTTAGCTTCATGTCCATATTATATGTTCAGTTCACCTTCCTACTAAGTGTAAAGTAGCACATTCACTTCAATACACAAGCACAGCACTCAAGTCACTCAAATGGTAGTGGTTTAGGGAACTTTCCAAGGGAGTGCAGGGGTTGGAGCAGCACTCACTGGAGGATGAGCGTGACCAATCGAATGGCTTCCACAGCGACATCGTACTCCTTGTCCAGGGTCATGGACACAATGCGGTCCTGCAAGGCAACTGAGGTCAGTCACAGGCACAAACACAGCAAGGCCAGCAGATGGAAAATTCTACAGGTTACAAAAGAAATACTGCAGGGGAGAAAGATGTTTCAACCACATGCTGACGATGAGAGCCCCTCAATATTACCCAACCTTTTAATGTACCACTTAGCTGTGAGCTATAACAAAAGGACAACTGCTTCAACAGTCCTTATCCTTGTGTGTTTGCCAGAAAGGGAGGGAAGAGACTTGGGAGCTACAGCACTGTTCTGGGTTGGATCAATTTAACAGGTCTTTCCTGAAAAGTCACATACTTGGGTTGGACAGAATGAAGCAGAAAACCTGCCCCACTTCATTCCCCTGAAACCAAATAATTTCAGAGGAAGGAATGCTGCATACATGGAAACGTGAAGAAAATCACACCTGAGATCATGCATCTGCAGGTTGCCTGTAAAGTTGTGACCTTTTCCCTGTCTATATCTCAAGGTTTGAAGCAGATCTCAAGAATTACACTACAGAGCTTCTCCAGGAAAGTGGGGAATTCCATGGTTTGATTTTGCATTTCTCATACTCTTTCTAATGGAGACAAGTACATCATTCTCCTGTCAAATCTAATGATTTTCTAACTTCTAAGGACCCTGTAGCTATGAGAAGTCTTTTAAGGGTTTCTTTCTCCTTAGGTTCCATTTGCTTACTGGCAAAAATAGCTGTGATTGGTGTATGTTGTCCTTCCTGTCTGGGGAGAATTTCCATCCAGCCATAAAAATGCAGTATGTCTCAGTGCTCTTTGCTTGACTGAGCAAGTTACTGTAGAGAAATCAGGCCATCTGAAAATAAAACTTGATTTCGCTGGCTTAACCTGCTTCAGCAAGGAGTAGGTACTCTATGACATTTTAGGATATGAAAAAATAGAAATCAGGAACTGGAAAAGAAACAAGGGAAGTGTAAAGCAACACCAGTGAAAGCCAGAACAAACCAGAGCAAAAGAAACGTTTTCACCTTTCTTCTCTACCATTCCATGCATTTAAGGGCTGAAGGCAAACATCAAGAAACTGATGTTTATTTCAATACAGAAATTTCAGATCAGTACTTAAAAAATGTATAATGGCTGTCTCAGTTGTTACTTCCCAACAAAACCAAGTCTGCAGAGACACTTCTTGTCACTGTGACTGAAGGAGCCTCTGTCAATCACTATTAAGCTCCTGGAGAATTTGATACATTTCATGTAGATCTAAACAGTTTCAAAGCCTATGAGAAGGCCATGAAGAGACCCAAAAAAACAACTTTCCACAGAGGATAGACTGTTATAAACAAGACAAAAAAACTGCTGTCAACTTTTCCTAAGGTCCTGGCCAAGGAACAGCAATAACAGCACCATGAGAAAGAACAGCCAGAGATCCTGATCTTAAATGTCTTAGTGGAATTTCATGTATTCTCTCAGAGTTTATCTTACAGCCCAGGATACCTCAGGGAGGGAATCCTCTCTCCTGTCCACAGAGCAGGAGGTACCCTCTGAATCTGGAGTCCTTTCGGACTTTGAAACCAACCAACGTGAGAAGGTTTCCTTATCCTACAAGACTGGTCCCCAAAAATATCAGGCTTAAAATAAACAGCATGGATGTGTAATTTTCTGCCCTGGGGCCAGCACCTCTGTGTGGTGGCACCTGCCAGCCAGGCCCCAAGAGCTTCCCCAGCAAGACTCACACCCCCAGTGCCTCTGAAGGTGTAACTGCAGTGGCTGAGGAAGTTCCAACACCTATCTGCTCAATCTGCCTTTACAGAGATTCCCTGTGCCATTGTACAGCAGGAGAACAGGGCACAGATCTGAATTTTTAAGCTGAAATACTAATTCTGAGTGTCTCTGAAGTATTCCATTCTATATTAGTCTGTGAACAAAGCAGACTGAAGAGCCAATCTCTCCTTGTGCTCCCAGGCTGTGGAGACAGCACAGGGTGAGGGATGAGGGATCTGGCACTGCCTGCAGAGGAGTTAATTCACAGTTTTTCCATATGGGGTCAGTTAATGTCTGTATCAGACAGGACTTCTTGATGGAAAACAGAAGTCTTCTCTCTGATGGGCAAATTTTTGTTTTGATGGACAAAGCTTATTTTCCAGCATATCATCTCCTCTTAGAAACACAAATGCTGGAAAGAACAGGCATTTTTTTGTGAAAAAGGGAAAGGATCACATCCTTGTCACAGCTCTCTGGAAGGAGAAAAAATATTAACACCCAGCACAAGGCACTCTGGATCAAATTAATTTATTCTTTAAACAGCTAGAAGACCTCTAGAGAGATTTCTCTCAGTTTGAATGGATTGAACTGAACACCAGCTGAACTGTGCAGGTCGATTAAATTCTGATGAAAAAATATAAATAAGCAGCCATGGAACTGAAAATGGCAGTTAGGTCAATTATTTTTCAAAGAGGTGGTGGTAGAGTCTGTGGTGGCAAGACATTTAGCTAATGTATCAGAGATTCAAAAAGCATTAATTTGGAACTTTGCTCCATCCTGGTGCCAAAGGCCACATCCCTGACAGCACAGCTGTAAATCCAAGTGCAGGCATTTGGGCCATGCCAGCTTTTTGTTCTCTTGATGTGGCAGAAACTGAAAGTGATTAATCATTACGTTAAAGAAATCTGTTCTCTAGGCTCCCAGAGACTTTGAGCACACCTTTTCCTCTGTTTTATTTCATAATGATAGATATTTCTGTAGTAAAACCAACTTTTATAGGACAGAAGAAAGATGAACTCCTAGCAAGGCTCCCTTCCTTCTGAACCTCTTTGACAGAAATGAAAACTCCTTGTACCATTCCAAGCCAAGCAGCAATGCACAGGCTAACCTAGCTTCCTTTAAGAGAATTGTCTGTGCTGTGAAAAGCAGGATGTATTTAGAGGTTTCATGTCCCTGTAGTTTTCTGGAGTACATTACAGAGTAACTATTGCCCAAACTGTCTCCAATTATCCTGAAAGTTTTGCAGGTGCATGGGACAATTCAGCCTCAAAGCAGCCTTTTCCCTTACAAATTATGGGATCATGACAAAGAAGCATTCAGCACACAAAAGCCCATGAGAGCTTTAGTGACAATCTTTTAAAAAATGGAATTACAGAAGCAGCAAATATAAATAAATCTAAATCAGCACAGAGGGAACAGGAAAATCAGCAGAGTTGGAGGGTCCATTTTTCTGGTTGTCCTGTGAGGATAAAGCAAAGCAGACTTATTGGAGGCATTAGAGAATAACTGAGTCTAATCCTCTTTACCAGGTTCTCTCCTATAAGGGGAAATTTTGTCTTTACTGCAACAGTGCAAGAAACTGGCTTTATAAAATTAGAAGAATGCAGGCCCTTAAGTAGTGTCTTAAAATGATCAAGTCTTATCTCCTACTTTAGTCAACTATATGTAGTTCATTTCTGGTAGACATTTATTTTATCTGCCCTTTAAGACTGTTACCTTAAATGAAGAAGACTATTAATAAAGAGTCTGCTCTATTATATAATTATAATTTTGGAAAAAAAGCCTTCCTTAATATCTAGGCTTATTGCAGGTTAAGCATCTTTTTTCTGTATCTCAAGTGAATGTGGAAAAAAGCGGATTATCATGTTTTTATAAACTGTTTTCATACAGGGAGAATCTACAGGGAGAAGTTTAAGTCTTGTGCAGAGTATTTATAAATATGTAAATCTCCACTTTTCTAAACAGAATTTTTAATCAGCATTATAATAATGATTTAAGTTAAAATAAACCAGTCAGCTCTGTTTCTTTTCTAAACAAATCTTTTCATCAGCATTCTAATAAAGATTTAAATGAGATAAATGAGTCTTTCCTTGGGGGTAGCTTTTCCCACAGTTGTGTATTCTGCAGAACACAAAAGCCACGGGGAGAGGCAGCAGCTGACATGTGGCAGTGCCTGAACGCTCCCCTCAGCAGGCATCCAAACAAGAGCAGGGACAGTTTTTCCACACCCATCTCTCCAGATAGTTCACTTGTACAATAAAACAGTCAGACCACAAAGTGAATTAACAGCCACATTCTTATCCAGATATTACACAAAAAGTTTGTGCTAATAAAAACCCCATGAAATATTGCCCCAACACTTCTCTCCTGAAGGGCCAATGTGGCTCAAGGGGCTTGGAAGCACAATGTGAACTCCTGTTCTGCAGCAAGGCCAGTTCACTGCATAGAGGACTGTGATGCACATCCAGGTGACTGTCCCTCCAAACACAAGCACATATTGAGCTAAAAAAGCTGCATAACAAACAATCTTTCATTACAGGCTGCTACTTTCAGCTACATTTTAGATTGTGTTAGTATACATCCTTTAAAATCAATAAATCTAAAATTAACTAAGTACAGGCAGATTGAATAAGGACAATATATAAGCTATAAATAACACATACAGACAAATAATCATCCTGGCTAAGTCTGACAAATCTCCCAACATAAACCCTGTGAAATGGATTTGGCTTAATTTCAGCATTCAGTAACACAGTTTCAGTAGTGCAGTTACAAGCCTTGTCACAATCTAATGAGTTCATTCTTAATAGACATGACTCTAAGACCACAACAGGATGATGACACTTTTACTTTCTGTCCTCCTTCCAAAAACTGCATTTCCTCTTACCTTGAATCTATTAGTGAACAGCTCCAGTTTGGGAAACAACTCTCTGTTGGTATACAGACTCTGAAGAGCTTTCAAACACTTCAACCTCACTTCACCTTGCTAAATAAAAAACACTGAGATTAGCTGTCAGAATACTTCAACCAAATGCACATGAATATTAAAAAACATAATACTGTAATTTGCTTAATGTACACTTAAAATCTTATGCAAATGACCAAAGCCAATTTGCAATTTACTAAAAACCAAAATCCACATGCAGTCACCTACAATGTTAAATTTCTTCCTATTTGCATAACGAAAGAACTAATGGGCCATCACTTATATGTCTGTTAGTGCTTCCCTTTCAAGTGACTCCACAAAAAGATAAAGAATGCAACAAGTAAATCCAAAATAAGGATGTCGGATGTCCAGGTACTTGGTGCAGGCAGTGTGGCTGTTTGTCTTCAGGAAGGAGCCCACAGGCCCACGGCTGACAGCTCGTGGGGACACAGAGCACACACGCTGCATTTGTTACCCCCACGGGTTTTACATTCCTTCTCTCACAGCAGGACAGCACAGGCTGAAGGATGCAGAAGGTGAGAGATCCTCCAGTGGGGAGCAGGCTGCTGCCACAGGAACAACACATCTGAGCCACAGCCCGAGGAGCCCGTGGGAAGAAGGGTGGCTTGTGTCCCTGTGCCTGAGCTGTGCTGGTGGCAGAAGCTCATTCCCAACTGCTGGGGACTGCTTTGGTCTGTGGGCTGCAGCAGGAAATGTGGGCATCACAGGACAGGGCCTGTGGATGAAGGCTTGTGTCCTGCAGGAACACTGCTGATGAAGAGAGGGACTGAATCCCCTGTGCTGCAAGTGGGCAACTCAACTGCACCATATTGGCAAACTATAGATTCTTGCTGTAAAATATTTGTGGATAGCCAAAAGGTTATAAACACAAATCTACTCAAATGTACTCTGTAGAGTTCACTGCCTTAAGTTGCTTAAAGGCCTTAAGTTGCTCAAGAACTAAAATGAACTATTGAACTTCATCAATAAAAATCCATACCCAGAGGGCTTAATTTCTGAAACTGTCTATTCCAGAATCCAGTCTGTACTTAGAAAGTGATCACATTAAAAACTGAAAGAACATTCACAGACTGACATAAAAGCAGAAGATAGAAATCCAAATTTTAAAGTTTCTTTCCTCCTTCACACCTATTTCAAAATTTGAAATAGAACACAAAAGCAGCACAGAAGCTGGGTTTCCCGAAGAACTTCCATGAAAAACAACTGTTCCTGAGAAATCATCTCTCTATATCCATGAGGAGTCTCTGAGCAGTCGTGCTCTCTTCTAGGGATCTTTCTGACTACCACTCCAGAGAAAGTCAATGAGGTGTAAGGTACGTTTAAAGGGATATGACATAGGCTCTTTCAAGGTACAGAAAAGAACTTTCTTGAAGAAAAATTACATGAATGTGATCAGCTGCTAAAAAAGCCCAGAGAAATGCTGCTTGACATTCTTTTTTTAATAGCACCTATGTGGCAGTACCAGAAAGGATGTCCTCCTCTGCTGTGTGGTGCTCAGAATGCCCAGGATGTCTGGAGTCATCACCACTCACAGGACATGGGCCTCTGATGGCCTCAGCTCACTGAGCCCGAGGATCAGGACCAGGTCAGTTCTGGCCCGCGTGAGCACTGTAAGGCACAGTAAGGCAGCAGCTCTATTTACAGCTGCACTGGAGCCTGTCCTACCTGTGAGCCCACTGCCGAATGGAAAACTCACCCACAATGGGACCCGAGACCTGGGCAAAGCAGGCTCAGACTGTTTGGGCCCATAGAGCCCAAAGCCCTTGGAGACTTCCCCAGACTCCATGGATCCATGGTCCCAGAGCTCAGTCCAGGCCCTGTACTGGGCTCTCTGAAAAGCTCAAGCCAGCAAATGGAGCCAGGAAGGCAGGAACCACACCCTGAGCACAGGCTCCTTGTATGGCTCCTTGCATGCTCTGCCTGACAACTGCAGCCAGGCCCTAACCAAAGTGTCCTGGACCAGATCTGAGGAGAAGGGACTGCAGGAGCAGGTGAGGAAGAGAGAGAGAAAGGTTATGTTACATCTGGTCCCTCTGGGTAGCAGCAGGACCAGGAGACACAGAGGCAAACCCTGGAAATGACTGCTCCTCTGGCAGAAGAATGATGAAGGAGGACTTTATCTGAGTTTGTCTTTTAAACTGTTGGTCAAGGATGGAATTCACCTCTTTGGAGAGGGAAGAGCTCCTGCACATCAGCTTGCTAATCCTGGTAAGGAGGTTTTAACACAAAGTCAGTGAAGATGAGTGGCAGGAATGCCCCGGGAAGCCTAAAGGGCAGTGAGCTGGACAGGAAGCAAAGAAGGGCAGGGTGAAGGTGTGTGTGGATGCACTCCAGTCCAGAGTGGAGGAGCAGCAATGTGCCACAGACCCTCAACACCACACACGAGATGGCTCTTCATAACTGTGAGAATCATCCAGCTCACAGGAGCTTTGAACATCCCTAACACCTTCTAGCAAGGAAGTAATTGGGTGGGAATGCTTGTTAGGGTGATTCTTAAGAAACATGCCAGCATAAAAGCTGCAAACAGGGATGGACAGGAAGGTCAGCAAGACACTTAGTAAACTAAGAGAGAACTTATTTACCTAATTCATTAATTAATTAATTAGGAGGTCAAGCACAAGAGGAACATCTGTTCCAGAGGACCCTGGGTTCATCCTCTCCACAGAAATAGACAATAAATAAAGTAAGAGGAATGCAAAGAAAGAAAAAAGCATGTTCTTGTGTGTTAGGAACTGGTTTTAAGAACCATGACTGTCCAGGTATCTAGAGACAATTACGGTTTCAAAACAGTTCCACACATCAATGAAGTAGGTGACAAGACAGAACAGTCTAATTTAACACTTCTATTTTCAAGAGGGTTTTTTAATGCCATTATATCATAGTTTATACACTTTTATTTATGCTCCAAGATACATGGGAATAAAAAAGATGCTTAAAAGCAGAGAAAGGCAAAACTTGAAAGCACCATTCAAATGAGAATCTATAAAAACCAAAAATCCCTATAGACATTTGTTTGAAATCTGGGAGACATGATTAACATACAAAATAGAAGGATTTTCCACTAAACTTTTGTATTCTACCTCTGAAAGACTACGTTGGAGCTACTACAAAGAAGTGTAAGAACTGTTCTTCCCTGTGGTTTAATTTGTATGTCTTCTGAAGTAGATTATGAAACTGCTCAGGAATCTCCTGCACTGCTCTCTCCTTTCTGCAGCAGCAAACTTAGAGAGAAATTAATAATCTTGGGGTGACTGCTGCTCATGTGAAGTGAAAATAGCTTATGGCTATTGCCTCAGCCTTCATTTTTTAAATACCAATTATAGCAAAAATTATCTCCTGATCAAAGCAAAGCAAAATCAAGAAACGTGGGTACCAGCTGGCAGTTTTTTCAGGCGGTGCCAATGAAAACCATGCTGTTAAGGGATCTTGTACTTCTGGAGGCTTTGCATTTTCAGTTGGCTCTTACTCCATCTTTTTCCAATATATTCTTCCTATTGCATCTCCACCCTTTTTCTGTGCTTTCCAAAATGTCTCTCCTCCCCTTTCATTACTTGACACCTGCCCCAGACTCTTCCCCATTCTACCTACAGTCTGTCTCACTCTGTAGATGACACATCCACAACATCAATAAAACCCCACCACCTATCAGGTGGACTGGGACATTAAACACATTAGTGATTTAAAGACTTAGAACCCCAGGGTACTTCTGTGGCCTGCAACAAAAAAAATTTATGAAGCAGAGGAAGAGCAGTCTGATAGAATTCTGCTGTGCCTGGACCAAATGGCCTAGTTTTTTATCCTAACACTGTAATTCAAAATTTCTCTGTTATTGAAAGAACATGTTGATTTTTAAAAAAGCTGGGGTATAAACACGTGTTAAGGCTGCAGGCAGATGACTAGACCCTGGCCTGAGGTTAAACTAACAGAAGAGGGTGTGAGAAAATACTGCACATGATATGAGAAATTGCTGGATGTGACAGATGAGAGTGTGAGATTCCACAGATGGGTAAAGGGAGTGATGTGAGAAATGGATGGACTTCAAAGACACTAGGAGGGGGCTGAGAGCTGTGAAGTGCAGCCCCACTACATTCCGGAGGTGCTACCTTGTGGAAATGTTCTACAAAGTTTAGAATGTGCTCCCAAAAATCCACTGCAATTATTCAAGGAATAATTTATTTAAATTATGAGTCCTAGTAAAACAAAGCCCTCCACACACCTTAAATCCCAATCCTCCAACCTGAGCTAACATCCCCACTGGTTTGCCAACTTGAACAGTGATGTCTCCTCCTGGAGCATGGCAACTTGTGAGGCACAGCATTGTCACCAACAAGGGACACAGAGCAGCAGTTCTGTCCCTCCAGGCACTGCCTTGGCTGTGTTTCCATGTCCAGTATTCACTGAGACACAGTGCAGTGGCTCTGGGGCAGACAGTGGCCATGGTTCATGGGAGCAGTAAGCAGGATCTTCCCCCTGACCAAGTTTTGCCCAATGAGATCTAATGTAATAGTTTGGGGAAATTTATAAAGGGAAAGCTTGAGAACTACAGGTTTGGAAAGAAATCCCATGTCTAGAGGATACTCTTAACAAGTCAACTGCTCATCCAAATGAAGGCAAGAGGCAGATTCCTGGCAGCTGTAGTTAAAAGAACCAGCAGCAGCAGCTGACTTCTATCATTAGTGAAAGCCAACATCTGCATGACTCATGTTGTTCAGAATTCAGCACAAGAGTGACCAAGTCAGATCCTAAATATTAACATGATGTTTGAAATTACTGAAAAAGTAATATTTTTCAAGAATCAGCTGTTAACTATCAGTTATGCAAGTAATCTAAATGAACTTGCAGACTGACAATTTTTTTCCACCAATGCTCCTAGAAAAGGAGAATAGTCTGAATCAGGATGCTGGAATTTGATGAGCATTTCAACAGTACTGTAAGTTGTATTCCTTGGATAGCGTTAGCAAGGGAGCTTAGAGTAAAACAAGTGATTCCAGTGGTTTTGTGGGGGTGGGAGCACAGCCAGTGCTGGTGTACAAAAGTCCCCAGGCAGAAGTGCAAAGTCCTCTGTCAGCACCCACAATGGGCTCCTCTTGCTGCAAGAACTAGGTGGATACCACCAGTACTAAGAACTCTACTGAGTCAGAAAAGCACCTCTTTTCCTTCTATCTGGTGTTTCAACATTTTTCTGAAGAAAAAGCTACAGAGAACCTTGAAAAGGAAGAAAGGGACAGTGAACTGATGAGCACTTCACTCGTGGAACATGGTTGTGGAACCAGCGGTGTCTATTCAGGACCCAGAGATCTTTTTCCTCTAACCTTTGGGCAATGTAAATGGAAGACACATGGAAATCCCTCTTCCGTTCTGCTTCAGACACAGAGGCTCTCAAGGATGCTCTGAAGAGACTTCTCTTTCTCTTGTAATCAACAGAAAAGCCCCATGGAAGGATTTCTGTCAAGATACTTCATCAGAGACTGACCACATGAAAAGCACACAGAGCAGCAGACTGGGAGTACTGTCTCCTAATTGAAGCCAATACCTGGAAGTGACCTGATTGAAAGATACCAGGTGAGGAAACAGAAAACCTCTTTGTAAGCCAAGGATAACGCTGTGCTGGGCAGCACAGCAGCAGCTGCCTCCAGTGTACTCTGCTGTGTGTGGGAATACACAATACTCACCCTGTCATGTAGTGTCCAACCAACATATTTTAAATAACTATCATTCAGGAAGGCATCACTGTACATTTTCATCCAGACACCAATTTCTTCAATACAGACAGCTCTAATTTCAGCAATAGCATCACTAATACAGAAAAAGAAAAGAACAAGGATTAGCCACATTACAGACAAATATCCTTCTTATTCCCATTGCCATAGCTATAATATTTTGCTTTTACTGGTCATGAACCTCACTAAGTGAGGCCTGTCACTGTTCTTACTGCCATCTCACTGATGTTCCTGTACATCCTTGAACTCACTGATCTAGTAATTTCAGTGTTTATAGATGCTCCTACATTTCCTCTATGTAAAGAAATTCTCACCCTAGTTTGCTTCTTAGTCTATCACTCCATCTTTAACCTCTCTTTTTTCAAAGAGAATTATGAACCCAAGCTACAAACCTCCTCTGGGCAATCATTTCTGAAACAGCATCACTGACATTTGCTTTGCAGCCCAGCTGTCTCCAGCTTGAGGTGCAGAACCATTGCAAGGTGGAAGAAGCTATTTGGTTTAGCCAAAGGCACCTGCCAGAGGAGCACAATGGAATTTGCTACACAAAGAGATCTCATTTCATATCCCCCATGAACACCCCTACAACAAAATCCATGAGAGATTTGCACTTCAGCATTGGTTTCTTCCCATTTTCCTGCTTTTATCCTACATTCTGACTGTGGCAAGTCAGCAAAGACATATCTCAGGCAGACTTATCAACTGCTTAGTGAGGAGGGGTGGCAGGAAACTGGAGAGGTCACCTAAGGAGACCAGGATGGAAATGCTTTCCATCTGATTGGCACTTTCCTGCCTGCCTGACATGGAGCATGGCATCTTTACTAATAATGAAACAACGAGAAAAGGGATGGGGGCCATCTGTCCCTTCAGTAATTCCATCTCTGGGACATCTGTTACCATGAGAAATCACTTGTGCCACTCCAGCTGGCACTGCCTCACAGTTCCAAATTTCAGCTGTAATACAAGAAGAACACAAAGAGTAACTGCACAGAAGAAGGGAATGTCTGGTGCTTTGCAAACACTGGAACTTGCTTGTAATTGAGACCCTTGTTTTGTATTTTTATGAAAAAAAAAATCTTTTTGGAAAAGTAATAAACATCAATTTAATTCTAAACCAGACCAACAGAGCCCCAAAATGAAATTTAATTTATGGGAAGGAAATAAAATTTCCAAGCTTCAAGCAAGAGAATATTTGCAAAAATGAAAAATTGCACTGTTCTGAAAGTAATCAATTTTACAAAATACAAATAAAATGCACTCACTTTTCTGCTCAAGACACTGCCCTAACCCAGAGCAGCAAGCCCCTGGTGACTCCATACGTGCTCAAGACACTGCACAGGTTCATAGCCCTAACCCAGAGCAGCAAGCCCCTGGTGACTCCATACTGTAAGTATGTACTTTCCTCCTGCACGCTGTCCCAGCTGATCCAGTGCCCTTGTCCTGCCCCTGACTTTGCAGACCCTGAGCTGGAACCCCAGGTCCCACAGGGACCATGAACCAAGCCCAGCATCACACGTGGCCAGGGGAACTTCTCCAGGCAGGTCTCAGTGTTTGAATTGAACTTGCAGGGAGGAAACTGTACTGCTGTAACAGCAGGAAAGTATAAACAGCATGTAATGCATTTAATGCAATAACATGAGGGGGACACCTGTGTGAAATGCCACCAAACCACTGCCATTGTCTCTCTCTGCTTTTGAGAAACATTAATTTTAACAACTTCCCAACAGCATCAGTAAACCTGGTCTGTCCAGCCTCCTGAAGCCTCTGTTCCCTCAGAACCAAGGTAAGGGGCAATCCACAATGGAGACAAGGTGCATTAGGAGCAGGGCAGGGCATCAAACAAGTTCCTCCTACCAGGGATTTCTCAAACAGGTTTAAGTAGTGTAAGGACCAACGTGCTAAATATCACACTCAAGGGTTAAAAACTGTGTTCCTTATGGGAAAGGCAGCCATAATGAAGACAAGTTTTAGTTTAAACTATGACTATAGTCACACACTCACAAACATATGTGTGTGTGTGTTTAATTAGGTTAGCAATTCTCTTACATGGATTTACTTGTAAACTATTTTAAAAGCAAAATATAGGTGGACAAATGCAAGACTTACAGAAAAACTAAAAGACTAGTAAACATAAATCAAGAAAAAACGGGGAGCCACATCTCCAGCAACACAAAGTAGTGAGGAAAACATTCTTACTAGGGGATGACAGCCTGAGTCCTCACATCCAAGTAAGTTATTTCACCACCTTATAAATTTACTAACTGTAGAGGATTTGGAAGGATTTAATGGCAATCCCAAAAAGAACCTAAATGTCAACAACTATTTAATCATGCATCACCGCCAGCCAAAAAGCAGGAAAAATCATGTTTTCTCTAAGAGTGCATTCAAGCTTCCCTAGGCAAAGTGAAAAACTGCTTCTTGATTCAAAAGTCTTCTCAGGGATCCCTCAGCACTACAGACACTCACTCCAAGCTGCTACTTTAAAAAAAAAAAAAAAAAAAAAAAGAAAGCTATTCAGCTTAATAGAAGATATAATACAATAACAATTTAACATCTCCAGTATAATTGAAAATGAGACAGAATCAAGGATGTGAGACCAGCAAACAGACTCAAGCTGCCAGAGAAGCAGGGAACTTGTGAGATGCCACTTCCCACTCCACATCACCTTCCAGGCAACTATCACTGATCAGAATCACTTGTGTTCCTGAAGGAATCATTAACACAGACTCCATGCCCATACAATGCTGTATCAAACTTAATACAGCCAAAAAAATCTTTGAACCTTTGCTTTTAATGTGGTAATGGCTTGTCATTAAACAATAATTCTTTTCTTCTAATATTTAGTTAATATACAGTTAAATACATTTTAGCTTCTGGTCACTATGATTTGTTTAGCTTTTTGAAAATACACATTATTTCTAGATGACACAAGAACATATAAATACTAATTATACCTGCACTGGAAGTGTTTTTGGAATAATGAATGCATTATTTATTATCATAAATTAGTGATGTAAGCTTGTATTACTCGCCAAATGCTTCTAGAAAGAAACAGAATCTGGTCCAGCACAGAGATGAAAACTAATGTGCCATCTACAGATCTTATACATGAAATATATTTAACCCTTGTTTCAGCACAAAATGCAAAGAAAGGTCTACAAGATGAAAATACTCGCAGCACAATTCACAGCCTAAGTTCCTACTCTGGGTAAAGAGATCCTCCATGATGCAACTTCTTTCCTGAAAGGATTTGACAAAAGGGGTTCAGGTAAGAAATTCTGCATTTCCTTTTGAAATTTTGGCTTGACAAGGCAGGCCCATAAACCTTAGGACAAACCACAACAGTGTCAGGAAACAGATTTTACTAGTGCCATTCCAAGTGCCACTTCAGTGTACCTTTCATGCCAAAGTACACACAAGAATTGTGATTAAGGCCAGCATATTCAGGACTGGAGCCACAGAGTCTCTGATGGATATTTGGGAAATATCAGGTGCAGAGCAGTGTGCTCCTCAGGGTTGCTGGAGTGGTTGTCAGCTTTGACCAAATCTGCTGTTCACACTACCTAGCATTAAACCTAGAAAACTATTTAGCTATTTCTGCAAATTTATTTTTTTTTAAATCTTGATGAGAAAAGCAAGAACTGAAATCTTCCAGTAAATTGGAAGCCAATCTACAGAAAGATGTAATCTCCCTGCAACACTTGTCAAAAGACACATTCTGAATGAAACAGTTTTGGGAGTTTTACTTAGGTCAAGGACTTGTTATTTAAGCTACAAAGGTCACTAAGCATGAATCACTGTGGCTGAGTCTGAATCATACTGAAGGATGGGACTTACTCTCTGAGAATAATTAAAATAATATTCTTTCGAAATCATCACCACTTGTGCATGGTCTAAGGCCTGTAAAATCATGTGAAGTTTATAAATAATTTGAACTATTTGAGAGAAGGAAGGTTCAAGAAATTAAGAAGTTATGAAAGCAGATAATAGTTCACAATCCTTTACATTTTATCCCCCCTGGGCTTTGTTGTCAGCTGGTTTTCACACAGACATTTTCCCTCTATTTTCTCATCCAGCTGTGAGTGCAGGAGTGTCACTCTGTGCTCTCTGTTGTGAACCATTACTCGTGGTTTGCTGTATGTTGTTAAGAGACTCTTTGGGGTTCCCCAAAAGGTCAAGGACAGCTCAAGCTCACACAGGTGGCTCTGGGGGCAGAGTGGCAACAGATTCCTCCTGACCCCTCTGAACAGTGGCACAAGTGGTGCCACCACCTGTCTGATTTCAGCCCATTCCCCACAGGTCTAACAGGGTCACCATGGGCACCTTTTTCAAGGGCTTGGATGGAGTTTATTGATTTGGCCTCTCCTTTTTTACAGCAACATCGGCAAAATCAGATCTTTACTAGTGGTGGAAGGAGGCAGGAAAATAAACTTTTTTACAAAAGGAAGACTTCAAAAGAAAAAGCAAAAGCACCCGAATGCAGACCACCAAAAGGCTGAGTCTTTTCCCAATCCCACACAAGAACATGAACTACTAAGAGGATATTTTAAAGCAATGTTTTGTTTCATATAATACACTAAGTTCTGAAGGGATAAAAATGGAAACACTCTTAGAATTTAATTTCTTCAGCTTTTTTACATATGCCATGAAAGCTGCTCTCCTTACAAAATGGTGTGAGTGCCACACTAATCTAGGACATCATGTACCTGCTGGCTCTGCATACCCATCCCTCCTGCTGCCAAGCAGCTCAAGGCTTCCTGGCCATAAACCATGAACTTTCTTTCCATGCTCAGGTACTGAGGAGACACTCTCCAACCCCACTGTAGTGCTCACACTCATCTGTTAGCCCGAGCACCTTCCCAGTTTCCTGGGTACTTTTCTCCAAATTACAATCATCCATCCCTCTGGCCAATGGTTTTGGCCTATGGTTTCCTCTTCACCTTCTAACTCTCTTCTCATACTCCCTTTTTTCCTGCTGCTTTCCTAAAAGATTCCATCAATTACAAACTTTTAAAGCAGAGCTGAAATCTGAAAGGCTAATTGCATAGTTTGGTACCCTGGAATTTTATCTTTTCATTTCAGCAAGTCAATTAACATTTAAAGAGCTGGTTGCACCAAGGTGATGCAGATGCTCTGAGACATCTTGTGACGCACAACAACCCTAAATCTATTTTAAAAGACTACCACTCTCTGGTAAACCATATTCCAAATTTGCTGTTTATACCCAAGACATACAAAAAGAAATGCAGGCTGGAGGACAACTGCTAGCCTATGACATGTAGTAATTATTTGATTATTCTTAAGATATATAATTTTTGTGCTCCCAGCATGGACAACTTTTCTTTTCAAAATGCAAAGATTCAAAGCCCATGTCTCCCACAACCTTTTAAAGCTGTCTACTGAATTAAAGTTGTGTGGATGGCTGTACTGAGTAATTAATAGAGGTTACAATTTGTATATTCTTCCATAACTTCAAATGTTTTTGACAGTGATCCTGCAGCATCTACAATATTACATCAGAAGAAAATCAACCCAGAAGCTGCCCTTGACTTTCCTTATGATCACACTGTTAGCAGAGCCTACTGGAACATGCATTTTCTTACCGGTATCTATGAACAAATATACCCTTAAAAATAGAGTTCATCATATTTTCGATTTCATCTTGGTTTTCTTGTAGCTGTGAAAAACAAAACACAAAATAAATAAAAGATCATTGTTTATTATAATTTGGTATTCTACAACTCCCTACTGGGAAACTTCAGAAGACCTTGGAAGAGCGCTTGAGTAAATTCACAACTTCTGCTTTTCCAGCACATGCCTATATTGTGTGCATATACATACAACTATTTACCTTATATATGCAATATCTTAATGAAAGAAAATTAATATTCACTACAAAAATCAATTTAGTCTCTCTAATTAGTTCTTTGAAGTGATCATAAACTTTTGCTAGTGAAAATGAGAGAAGTAGAGACAATGTGTGCAGTAATTTCAGCAGTGCTGTGTTCACAGGGAAACAGAGCTGAATGAATGACAGCTGCAGAAACAAAGCTAGTGACAGATTAGTTTGAAAAAATTAATGTTCTATTTAAGGAAAGGAGTTGAAGACATTCTCAAACTTTAGTAAAAGACTGTCAGTTGAACTTCAGCACCCACAATAACTGGGTTTCAGAAGCAGGAAGATTTCCAGGACCAGAGCACCTGTGACATCCAGGCCTTAGCTTGCAAGAAACCAAACCCAATTCCAAATGAAAAGGTGTTATGAGCATGCTTTTATAAATATGAGCATTTTCTTAAAAATCTTTTCACCTCCTGGGTAATATGAGCACATTCTGCAAGTATTATGGGAAGCTTACCTTGTGTCAATTAATATGTTAATACAACTTAGAATTAATTACAGTATTCTCATATTGTCAGACCTTGTACTAAACTAAGTATAACTTAATTACATCTAAATGCAGCTTTGTTAATAAGATGACACCAATTTTATCCAATCAGTTTTTGGAGCAGCCATCGTTCTTCCATCAAGGTGTTCATTGCAGTCCAAGCACAGCGCCACAATGTGGGAATGTAAATTTGCCCACACTCTCACAGTAGGAAAACCACAACAGAGCCTTGCTGGTGGAGTGCACATATGCATAAAATAATTAAACCTGTATAATTATGGATGTATATGTTTAACAGATAAAAGGTTTTAAAGCCAGAGGCAAAATTGTGATCAGCTAGTTTGACCTCCTGCATGCCATGAGCTCTAAAACACTTTCACCTAAGGGCTTCCATTTTTCAGCCAAATATTTCTACTGCATCTTCCAGGTATGAGCTGAAGTAGCTTCAGAACTCCGGGAGTGAAGCTGAAGTGTAAGGAGGTGCTGTCTTAATTTTGCACATGGAGAAACCAAGGCATTGAGGACTCTTGATTAAATTACCAAAAGGCTGCCAAAGAAACTAATTTCACAGTAAAAAGGATTATATACCAAGGGAAGAGCTGGGTCCACATCAGCTCTGCACACATGAACCAAGCATATTTAGACATGGCCTCTGGGAAAAGTACTATTTGCAGCATCAGCTCAACCCAAATATGCACAGACTAAATTCTTGTTTGAGAATTCATAACCCAAGGGGGACTGTGAGTTCCTAATCACTCCTCAACTGGATGACTCCACAGGCCACAGGCAGGGAAACATCCACAGCAACATGGGGGTAGAGACAGCCTAGTGCAGCAAAATGAGGATGGGAATGAACCAAGAAGCCTCAGGAGGCTTCCTGAAAGGCTACCAGAGCTCACAGAGAACTCAGGGAATGATTTCTTGGTATAAAACCACATCATAGAAGACAGGTAGAAGAGATGGACTTGTTGAGCCATGAGAAAGTTGGGATTCTGAAAAAAGTGTACTTTGACATCTCTCTGAGTGCAAAGTGAAGCAGCACAGTACAGGCCTGAGCAGCACAGATGAAGATATAGCACAAATGGCTTCCTCCCTCTTCTTCTGCACAGAATTTACAGTTCACTATAAACATGGTAAATTACCATCTGGTACAGCTATCCAGGTGCTGGGGCACAGCTGGTCTGGAAGCAGAATCAGAGATTCAGTAGGTCCATGTGAGATTGCTTTTACCTCTGTGTACTAACATTTAAAGGATATAATTCTCAAATATATTTTAGATTCAAGTAATGAATTCTCTGCAACTCTAACTGCTTTCTACACTTTCAAGTTTTTTAAATCATACACTTGAATCTGAGTGCTTAACTTCAAGTATCTTGAGAGAGCGTCTGTGTCTTGGAATTCCTGCTCTTACCAAAGCAAAAATGATTTAACACTCCCCCTCTTAAACAGAGGTAAAAAATGAGGGAAACATTCTCTTGTTGACTCTGCAAGTAGGTTTGGAAGATCAAAAAGATATGTATGACAAGCACAAAATTTGAATTACTATGGACAGATACTAAAAAGACAACTTTCTCCGCTTTGTGGCATACATATTGCAACATAAATCCTCCACTTGAGCTGAAAATCTCATTGATAAGACAGATCTCCATACATGGCTCTCCCACCAGGCCCGGAGATGATGGCATGAGACACTTCAGGAAGTGCTCCATCTCCTCTGCTTCAGACTAACCTGCCACACTCAGTTGGTGAACTGTCCCTCTATCAGCTCATGAAGACCAACACATGCACATGTATGTGCTCAGGAGGGGTTGTTAGGATGGCACTTCATCAAAGAATCAAGTGAGGAAGTGCCAGCACAGAATGCCACTGTCAATTCAATGTATTTAAACAGTGGGAATATAGAGTATTATGTCAGGAATCCTTCCATGGAGCATTAAGCCATTTAATCCTAACAGATCTCTTCTGCCCAGGTGCCCCTGGAGTGCTTAACCCCATGGACATACTCGATCCGGCAATTCCCAGGCAATGCATTGCTGTCATGAGCAATGAGATGAGAGCCCCTGAACACAGAGCCAAAGGACTAAGAAAGGCTCCTTCTCCTGCCAAGGCTCTCCAGCCCTGTGCAGCCTGGGCATCCTTGCTACAGCTCCCCAGAGAGAGGATGCACTGCAGCTCTGCAAGGGCAGCTGGGGGAACGGGCACAGAGGAGTCCCAGCCACAGAGCCACCAGTGTGGCACTCACATTCTCTGGAAGAATCCCTTCACCCAGGATTTTTCTTATGGGAAGCTGAGAAGCCTCCAAGAAAAAGAAAAACAATTTTATCTCATTTGCTTCTCCTGTTTTGCTGCTTTGGAATGTGGTTGGTGATTGTTTATCCAACAGGTGATGGTTTCATTGGTTTCTGCTGTGAGTTGTTTTGACTCAGTGGCCAACTGGGGCCAAGCTGTGTTGGGCTCTGGAGAGGGAGTCACGAATTGTCATTGTTATCTTTTTAGCCTTCTGTAAGTATCCTTTCTATATTCTTAAGTATAGTATAGTATTCTTTAATATAATATGGCATCATAAAATAATAAATTAGCCTTCTGAGAACATGGAGTCAGATTCATCATTCCTTCCTTTGTCTGGGGGCCCAGCAAATACAATACACCAGCCCAAGGTAATCAGTGCAATTAGTGCCTTTGTTCTCTGCAAATTCAAAGCAACAATCAACAAATGTGGAATACAAACTTTCTTCCAGCTATTTTGCTTTTCAAAATTATTTAGAACTCACATGCAATTTAATATTTAATTTAAAATGTTTCTCTTGCAGTTTAGGCAGGAGAGATTGTTCTTGCATTGTACCTTAATGCACGCTTTTCAAGAATTATGAAAACTAAATAAAGTTGTGCTACATAGGGGTAAAATAAAAATATGTAATTGTAATTATCCCCAGACAAACACTACAAAGTCAAGCAATTCTGAGTTAAAGTTACACCTAAAGGAATTCAAGGTGCACACAAGCAAAGCATCCAGACAGTCTTAACTGCCACAGAGTAAAACAGTGGTGGAGAAAATTCAAAACTAATATACTAAAAATCATAAATTTAAATCTAATACAAACTTTGATTTTTCAATTTCTCTTATGAGTTTTACTGGGCATCTTTACACAATATGTTTGTGTGGATGTATGTGTATTAATTTTCTACTTATCATCTTTAAATTTAAGTACACCTCTAAAACTGCAATATCCTGTGATATAATACTTTTATTTAGGAATGATTACAGCAACCTTCTAATGGTTTTTCTCACCTAATGCCAGGCTGGTACTTACTAAAGGCGACTTTAATGTCTCCCTAGCTCCTTCTCCCTGAGAACAGCTGCTATAGCCTCAACTCCACAGTGTTTCCTGAAAGCAGCTAAAAAAGAAGTAGTAATGAGACACTGTGGAATAACTGCAATGATCAAGGGGAAAACTGGGCAGTGCAGGGAGGGAACGTGTGATCCTCTTGTCAGAATCTTTCTGCATCACCAGAGCAGTGACTGCTTACAGTTTGAGACTCTTCCTGCCTGGTCATTCATAGAAGCTTGAGAACAGAATTCTCCTCTGCATGCAGAACAGCACCACAAACTCAACTGAATGTGGCAGCACAGGATTTAAGTAGTCTGCTTGAGATCACACGAACACCACTGCAAAACTAAGCTCTTTCTCACTGTGGTACTCGAGTCACAAACCACCCTGGGCTTTCTGTTGGAGGGAATGCACATGAACCAGGAAAAAAAAAATTGTCTTTTCACTTGCCTCTTTTCTTTTCTGAAGCAGCAGCTCCAATCTTTCATTAGCTCTTTTGCCAATCATTTTGTTTCTCTCAGCTTCATACTGCCTCTGTGTATTGTCCTGATGAATGCTCAGGTTTAAGGCAACATTCACAAGAGCAGTCATAAGCTTCATAGCTGCAAAGGCACAAGACAGATTATGACTCTTTACCTGTAGTCAGAGCTCAGAAAATATTTCCTCAGCAGATCTATACTCACAGCAAAAAGCCTCTCAACCCTGGCACAGCCATCTGGATAGGCACTTCCACTCAGGCAACACCCAGGTCATTGGCCCATGGTCAGAAAGCAGAGTCCCCACATTGAGCTGCAGGCAGTGCTCCTTGCTGTCTTCTCCAGACAAACTCTGAGTGCACCAGGGAGCCAACACCTGAGCCTGCAGCTTCAGGGCACCAAGAAGGCAGCAGCTGGGGAGTTACAGCCATTTCTGCAGAGAAGAGTGCTAGCAGAGATGGCTCCATACTAAGGGTGGCCTTAACCAATGGCTGCTGAGGATGGCTCAGTTCACAAGGGACCACAGCACAGCTTCTCCGAATGCAGGTCTGACACTGCTCTAAAGTCAGCTGTACAGCCATATAGAAATGCAATTTTTATTTTCACACATGCTGGATATGATATTGTTCATGTCTGCTTTTCGGTGCTAAAATTTATTTTTACAGAAAACATTAATAAGGGTCTTTCCCAGGTTCTGTATGGTTACATAGTACAACACATTTTACAATATTGAAAAAAAAGCAAAATAATGCAACAAACTATCACATCCTCTCTGCATGCTCCTCTAAATATGCAGCATTGCTTCAAGGTAGAAAAGCAACCACACAAATGGAGAAGTGAGGCTACATGGATGGATTTGCACTGTTATAGCTCAAAACTGGTAACCTACAGGTACTTCTTCCTACAGCGAATCATCTCTCATTCCAACTGACTAGCACAGAGGAAAACTGAAAACAAGGACCTACAAACATTCCTTCAGAAATTCCAGTCTACAGGTAGATTTTCAAAAACTTTATCAAGACTGAGCTCAATGGCATCATGCTGACCTCTGCTCTTTGGGACTGCAACACAATTAAATGTGCTAAAAACAGCTTGAAGGAAATTTGTAGACTCAAAGCAAAGTCTCAAGCTTTCTTAAAACAAGGAAGTAAGTAAATAAATAGCATGTACTGTCACTGGTAAGTCCTGAGATCTTCAGCAGCTCCCATCTGTGATGCAATATTAGATAAATGTGTCATTAATGCAAGAAGTCAGCAGTGGCTGAAATAACTGCAGTCAGTTGTGATGAACCTCAGCTTTAGCACAGCTTATTCTTGCTGCAAGCTTCTAGCTACAGAATCCATTCCAAACAGTGGAAACTCTTTATTCTATGGAGCATAGGTCTTGGGAAATAACTGTTATTCTGCTTCTGTTTCCTGTCTTTTAATCAAGCTCCTCATACTTTCCAAACATCCACCCCATGCAGGGATGGACCAATCAATCCCAGGGACCAGAGTGCAAACCTCACTCCATAAACTCTTCCCTATGAACCAACCAGCCACAGTCTGAGCAAACAGCAAATCAAAACCACCCAGAACTGCAGACAACGTCAGATGGAAGGGAATAACAGGCATGGATTTCCAGCAGGTTATCTAGGCTCAAACAGTGCTCACCTTGGAATACTGAATTTGAAGAGGAAACTCCAAACCTGCATAATTCACGGTTTTACCATCCCATTGCTAAGTATGGTGAAGAACACAAGGGAATGTGCTTCCAAAGGAGTTCAGTCACTGTGAGTTGAAGGGTTTGGGCTTCAGTTTTAAACTCAAAATCCACTCATATCTGGAGATTTTTTCAATATCATTGGAAATCTGCCTCTTTCTTTGATTCATAACAAATGATGAAATTTTAAATAAATTCTGTTTGTATTTGTTTAACACTGAGTATTGGTACACTTGAAACTGAAAAAATGTGTATGAGGCTGATTGTGGAAAGACTAAATAGTAATAAATACTGGCCCTAAAAACATTCAGATTATGACAAATGTCTGCTGTAAGAGTTTCAAATATCTGGTATGATCTGTGAACCTTATAATAAGATGGATTTCTTATCACTTGACATGACCAGCTGTAGACACCTACACCCAAGCCAGTGACTCCAGCAGTGCTTTGTAATTGAGAAAAATAGTTCCTTGTGGAGAGCAATTCATTCCTCTTAGAGGAGACATCTCATATAGGTGTGATGAAATACACAAGGAAAGCCCATTTCTAACTAATAATACAGCCAAGGCTTTCCTTAGGTGAGGCAGCTGCACTTGAAGGTGGTGTGGCTGCAGGCAGAAGACAGGGAGCCCTACAACCATGGCCCAGTAATCCCAAACCTCATGCTTCCCCAAATTTAAGGCACAGATTATCTTTTCTGGTGAATGGAAACTCTTTGATAATACAACTGCCTGATACCTCTTTAGAATAAATTTATACTCTAAAATATATAATTACTCCAGCATTCTGTACAAGTGAACAATTAATAACAAATTACAAGACATAAGCATGGCCTGATTACCAAGATGCACTGGAGGCCCTGGGGATGACAGGAATCTCTATGTGCCTCAGCACTTTCCAAATAAAAAAGGCGGATTTTAAGTATAGTTGCACCATATGTGGTACTTGGATTTGATGAAGCTTCCCACAGTTTTAACGTTGGTCAGGGTCCACCTCAATCCCAATTACAAGTACTGGCAGTGGATAAGCAGCAGAGGCAGTGTGACAGAGCCCCCCGGGCAGCTCACTCACCAGCCAGCGTGCTGGTGTGCCGGAAGGCGCGGACCTGCGAGTCGGAGAGGCCGGTGAGCAGCGAGATCACCGTGTCCATCATGTACTCGTCGTAGATGATGCTGTACTGGCACTGCCGGATCAGCACCCCGATGAACTCGCAGAAGTTGGAGCGGAACTTCTTCCACTGAGGCCCAGGCATGGTCAGGGGATAATCACCACTGTCCTGCAGAACAAGAAAAGAAAAAGGTCAAGTATTAAAGGTGTCCCTATTTAATTTATTTTGATGTTGGTGTACCCATTGTGGTCTGTGCTTCTAAAATAAACATCATCTTCTTCCTTCAAGCCAAGGGAAAATAACAAATATAAATAACACATTGTTCTTCAATAAAGAGGGAGGCTTATTGGCATGAAACCACTTTTGCAAAGACATCTTTGTAACTTTTCTACTTGCAGTATTGGCTCCGTATAGTCCAAAATAAGTATCAAGACTCAATTCTCTTCCTTGTATCCTTGTTTAGGAAGTGGGAGGAAAGGATGAGACAGGAATATTTCAAAATGTTTAAGGTCAAAACCTGAAAAAAGGGTTGTGTGATCGACAGTTTGTGTCATTCTCCATCCCCACTTCAACTCCAGGTCAATATTCGAATCAGCTGGCTGCCCTTCTCCCCAGACTTTGCTTTGCTCAAGCTTACGGTTGAGTATGGTTTATTCAAGCTTACAGTTTCCTCATCAGAAAGCAAGCACCACCCTGTTTTATCTTGTAAATGGAGCCTTTTTCTAGTGGTAAAACTTGCCTTCTGATAGCAGTAAAGGAAGTTTTACCATAGATTCATACACTTGATCTTCAGAAAATGATTACAAGATTGGACTAGGCATGTTCATTTAATGCCTCTCCAGGTCTGCTCTTACTACCTTCACCTTATATACTGCATTACAGGGAGACTGTCACCTGACAATCAGAAAATGCTTTTTCCCTCTCAGTGAAAAAGCCTGAGTATAAATCTCCCTGACCACCTGATTTGCAAGCCAATTCCAGAGTATCCAAAACATCAAGGCAGTAATGCTCCACCATGAATCTCTCAGCCAACATAAGAAGTCAGTAGTACCAAAGTTACATCCATTTGTACACATTTATTCTGCGGTTTTGTGAGGAACAAACACTTTCCTCCTCAGGACTTATCACCCAGACTGAAACATGCAAAGGCAGCAATGTCAGCACAGAGGAGCTGCAAGCAAACAACCTTGAACCTGAACTTCATAAACAACATTCCCCTACAGAAAACTCTTTAGCCACCACATTTAACTAAATCACACCCACTTCAACCACACCATAAAATAACCAATGGATCTCTACATGTGAACTTTGGTACATAACATGTGCTTCCTTGAGGTGTGTGTATATGCAGTCTTTTGGAACAAAACTTCATAGTCTGAAGTGCTGTGTGTAAATACTCATCTCTGTGCAGTGCATTTTTAACCTGCAAGTACGTATCAGATAACTCTTTTGAAAAGCCTATGGAGACTGTACCATGACCACCTCATCTGGCTGAAACGGGAAGAATAAACTTACAATAAAGTCACTTCATGGATCTTTTATTCTTGAATACCAATAAAAACAGGATACATTTGTGACACTGACACAATACTTCATGGCCCAGTGCTTAGAAAATTCAAAGTAAACCAAGTCTCTGCTCACCTGCCAGCTCTAGCACAAAAATTATGAGGGAATTCACCTACAAAACACCTGTACTCCTAAGCCAAACAGCGCAGCCAAAGGATGTCCATGGAATTCCCTGTCCCAAAGTGAACTTTATCCACAAAGTTATTTCCATCGTTTAAATGCCGCACAAGCATTTCTCCGCTCATGAGGAGGAAAATAAATACTTCAATCCCTGCCATAAATGCAAAATTCAGGCCAGCAGCCAGCTAATTCCTGCAGCACTCATGGAACAATGGGAAGTTTGGGATTTCTGGGGTACTGGGGGAGCTACTACAGGTGAAATGCCAACAGTTTATTCCAGATTTCAAAATATTCATTGGGTTGCAGCCTAGGACTAACAATTTTATGCCTTTGTACTAAGCCCCACAAATTCTCTCACAAATCCATTCAAATGTTAAGGCAGAAGCTAGAACTGAAACTTTTTTTTAGAACTACAGAAGTTCTGAAAAGTTTTAGGCAATGGAAAAAGAAAGACTATGTACCAGTAACTGTAACTCTTTGAGAGATGTTGCTTTCAAGTACATTCATAGGAAGAGGTTTTTTCCTCCTGTGAGAAAAAACTTTGACAGTTTTTAAAAAGGTTTTTTTTTGAAAAATACTTCATTCATCAACTATGGGACAATCACTCAACAAAAGGAGCATCCCTATGGCTGTAGTCAGGCATTAACTGAAATATTTTGTTGTTCAAGGCTGTGGTAAGGAAGGAAATTGTGTATAAATACATCAAGAAAATTTCTTGTATTTATTGTTTTCCTGCTTAACTTTCTGAATCACAGCTTTGGCATTTCATTTAGAACTGGTCAGAGACACTGCTGTCCTACAGAAGTTCTGGCTCCAGCTTTAGTTTTCCTCACTAAACAAAATGAATGCTTAGAATATTCAGCTTTTGATACACCAAAAATAAAAGAAAACACAGTCCAAAAATCTCAAGACTAAAAAGCATTCACCATTAGGAACACTTTTATTGTGACAGAAGATACCCAGTCTGAATTGTAATTTACTTCTTTCAAATAAAATGCTCTGATCTTTTGAAAGAGTATTTCTTTCCATATCACTGTTCCAAAATGGTAATTTTCATGTCAAGTTTTTATTTGGTTTAAATTCCCATTTAAAATGCAAAAAAACATTAATTTGCACAGAGAAAACAGAGCAGGATGCTGTAAAATCCTGTCTCATGAATCCGATGTGTCAGGAATCTGGAGCTCTTTGTTGTATCATGGCATTCCCAAGAGCTGAAGTTCAGCCCCCACAATGCCACCACCACTCTCAGTGGGATGAGGGTTCTCCAGTTCCTCTTCCTGCCTGCTCTGATGAACATCTCTCTGCCCATCTCCACCTCCAACAGCTGAAGTTGCTGCTTTGCTTGTGAGTGCAGTTTCCCACATTGAGACATTATTTATCCACTGGCCCACTGCATTTTTAATTTAAACCAGAATATATGGTAATATATTTCATAATGCTTCAAATAACTATTTGTATACTCTACCTCATCGAATTCTTCTGTCATTTTCCTTATGATTTCTGCATTTTGCATGTTCCTGAACATTTCAATTCTTACCGTACCTGTAATGAAATGAAAGAACAAAAGAAATGAATACAACATGGTTTTGCTACATCAAAATATCAATGTTTTTCTGCTGCTAAACAAACAGCTCAGTGATACATACAAGAGTATGCAGAGTGCAACATTAACAGGAATGCTTTGAAAAAGGCTGTCTCTTGAAGAAGTAGGGAAAGAGAACTCATCTGTTCTGTAATGTGCTTTCAAACAAGGAATTAGTATCATTTTCCATCCTTCCACTCTTTACAGCCAAGCAGAAATGATAAAGCAGTGATAACCATGGAGGACTCGTGTCATGTCTGCAGCTGTCCAAGGCTTTCAATTTTGTCTGCAAAATCAAATGAGCACCATCTTTCAGTTTCACAGCCACTCCTGGTGGTTCTGCACTTTCCATGCCGAGTGCCCTGGATGACAGGACAGATATCCATGTTCTCTATGCACCCACTGGGAGTTTTCACACTGCTCAGCTCAGGACCAGCATGGTTTATTGACTGAGGCACGCTTTCCACACCCAAAGGCTCCAAAGGGCTCAGCCAAGATGTGAGCCAGCTCAGCAGCAAAATCAGCAACAGTATTGCTGTTATTCTTTAATGAAGATCTTCCACTCTTGCTATCTGAACACTGGAGTTGACAGGTTTAATTTTCCATTGTAAATCAAACAAAGCTAACAAAATTGAAAACAGAACAGAATAGGTATAAATGAAAATTCTTGTGTCTTGATCAAAATTCAATCAGTACACAAATAAAGTATTCTGACATATTATTGCCTCTGCAACTAGACACTACCTAAGTATCTAACCATGCAACCCAGGGCAACATAAAGATTTTTTTTTTGGTGCTGCTGCATGATATTCTCTTCATCACTTCACAGTCTTCTTTTGTTAATGGAGGAAATTCAGAAAAATTAAGTAAACTGCAGAGCTACAAAATCCACCCCAACATCATTAATATTACAAAAAGTCTCTCAGGTTTTGCAAAAAGTTCAACTGGATTAAAAATCCACTGCATGGCTTCAAAAATTCAGACCATAATAGAAGCAGCTTAACAGCTAACAGTATTAGTCACCCTACAAAGGATAAATAAAGATAATTTAAATATACTAAATATTATGCAAATGTTTTCATGTGGTATTTTATTCCTTAAAAAAGAGCACTAGAAATATATGCATTTCAAAACATGCAAGCACAGTTAGAGCACACCAAGTCCCTCTATGTTAGTATGGGTACAGTTTTACAAAGCAAATGAAATACTGATTTCTTTGCCTCTTCCTGAAATAATATTTGTTATCTATTTCATATTGGGTAGTACTGTCAAACTTCAGTTCTGACAATGGCAATTTAAATTTGTGCATGGTAATTTCCATATCATTAACAAACAATTACTAATGCAATATATCAACAAAAAAACAGGAACCCAAGAGAATACTACCATGTGACAGTTGAAAAAATATTTTCTCAGCTTGGAAATCATCTACACATGCAGATATATTTTAATCTTTCCCTCAATCCTGAAAGGATTTCTTTTGGCTAAATGAAGTAGTTTCCCAGTATGTGTCAGAGCAGTGGACAGGTACTATTGCAAACCTCCTCTGCTGCAGGAATGCCCTTCTTTCACAGCATGCTGCTATCTGCTGCTCTTCTCACTGGCAGCACGCCCCTCAGTCACAGAAGAATCCACTGACATTTGCTATTTTACTGGTTTATAGCCCTGATTCTAATGTTATTCTTATCTATTTATGGCTTCTTCTAATGACCTGCCATAGCCTGAGTTTCTCCACAGTCATGGCCATGTTTACCTTGCATGAGCAGAACCCAGAGAGCACCATCCCTCCCCGGGCACTCGGAGCATGTCACTGATCCCCACGAAGAGGTGCCACAGCTGAGGCTGGGGAGATCCTCCAACACCTTCCAACAAACAATGGTGCAGTTTGCTGGGACCAGGAGGCAGGATGTGCACACCATGAGACACACTCCTGACATCTTCCAGGGCTGCCAGGGTGAGCAAGAGCTCCAAGGGTTGCCAAGGGAGCATCAGCAAGCGCTTGGAGTGGAGAACACTTACCTAGCTCTTACCCACTGTCCTGTCCCATTCTTTCCTCCACTTTTCAGGATCCAGTTTACAGAAGTCATGGAAAGCACAAGGAGTGTTTCTGCTTGCCTGGCAGTAGGCAATGGCTCTGGCCTGACTGCTTTTCCTTCCACCACCTCTCCCCCACCCAACCACAGCACAGCCCCATTTGTTTTTCTGGCAAACTCATTTAACACTGTAAGTATGCTGTGAAGGCTTTGCTCAAATTTCATGGTGACACCACATTTCAGCACTGCAGTGGTCAACATTATTCAAACCCATAGTTTTTATGATTAGTGAAAAGCAAAATTTTCCCATTTTCAGGTTAATCCTTAATATGTAACAGATTGTCTATAAACTACAACTGAGGAGTGACAGGCATCCCTGAAGTCTTTTCCTTACTCAAGTTGCTTCATGTCCTTTTCTAAGCTGAGTTTTACCTCTGCCATGAAGCTCTCACTCTGTATTTAGTGAAGAGAATTGAAATTGTCTTAATCCATTAAAAATTAAGAAGCCTATTTTACTTCAGGACTAAGTTCTCAGCTAAAACCTATTCACATACATTGTGTTTTAAAAAGTCTTCTCACTGACATATATTTCCTTAACTACCAAATTCCAGTTTAACTTTCAGATAAAACAGGTATCAACATAATTTCTCAATAATCACAGTACCCAACAGGGCCTTTAAGAGTAAAAACAAAAAACCCATAAAGAGCACAAAACAATTTCAATGAGAGAAGAGAAAGACTAAAGGGGCCTATACAAAACTGGATGAATCCACCTTAAAAAACCCTAAACTGTGTACAAAACCAGATATAGTATTTCTGGGAGATATAACACACCAGGGACTCAGTGGCTTGAAAACATGTATCTAGAGTGAGAAGAATAACCAGTTTTATTATAAGGCCTGTAAAAGCAAAGCAACAATAAAGATCTCCAAGAGCTTTATAGGATGTGAAAGCCCTCGAGTCTGAGCAACAACCAGCCTTCACTACCAGGAGTTAAACAGGGTTACCCCTGGGATGTGGGTGGTCCCATGACTGCCTTTCCTGCTGCAAACAGGAGGTACTGGCACTGACCACTGCTGGCAATCAGGGAACACCACCACAACAAGTACCACACTCCAATGCCTCCTGCACAGGGCAGCTCTGGGATTTCTATAAGAAAAGAAAAGTTGGATCAGAGAAACATCAGCTCTAAGAACCCATGTACAGTCACTCCTGAAATCTGAACTGCTGATGGTAATTAATTATATGCTATGAATTATTACATGCTATACTGTCTATACTGTATGGTCAGTTTTCATCACAAGGACCTTTATTCACCAAAGCTATACAACAATTTCATTCCTTCTCTTTTGGACCACCTGCCCACACTGAGTAATCTGCAAGAAAAGCAGTGGGAAAATTGCAGCTCAAGATCAACATGAATGGATATGAAATAAGCCCACAATCTCCTGCCAAAGGAGGATTAATTGTGGTACCTTAAATTCATGGTAACTGAATAGACTGATCTCTCAAACACATGAACTGGAAAAACAAGAGGAAGATTTATAGAGACATTGAGAAGAAGACACAAGGAGATTTGCCCAGGAAAGTACATGAAAAACACAATGGGCTCTTCTGCATCAGTTCAAACTCAATAGTGGAGACCACGGCACCAGAACCTAATTGAAATTGCCAAGAGAGAGCAAGTTTAATAAAACATTTGTGAGGATGGATGGTGATTACAGAACTGCTGGATGGGCAGTATTTATCTCCCTTAATATCATTCAATGTGCAACTCCTATACCTTTCGCCCCACTTATAATTAAAATCCTAAGAAATAATCCACTCCTATAATGTCCTTAAGTGCAGTTTTCAATCATCTGAGGAGTGGTACTGACAAATTCCATGTGACAGATGATAAAGACTGAAGTCAAACCATCAGGAGCACATGATTTCTCAGTGCTCAGCCTTGGTCAGGGTACTCTGCTGTAGCACTTCCACTGACTGTTTCCAGAAGAGAGCTGCCTGAATCTACCCAAAAATTACTCAGGCCAGTAGAAAAGTTCATTTTCTGTGGCTCGCTCACGATCATGTAAGAACACTGAAGTAGCTCTTACCTCATTGGAATCAATAGATGTTAATCATTAATTTAAATAGAAGCAGTAGTGGGGCAGTTGAAGCATATCCAAATAGATACTGAGATGCCTAAATCCCACCAGGGCTCCTGACTTTCTATTGATTTCTGTCCCTAAAAACTGAAACTCTTTGCTGAGACCAGAGGTCAAGACTTGACAAAGACGTTAGTCTAAATATTTAGTTGAATTTCCGCAGGTGTAGGAATAGAAGACCCTTTTATTGATTTATTCCCCAATTCTTCCTGCTGCATGGACTCTACACTGCCCAACTTCTGCTGCCAGTGAAGCAATATTCAAAAGACAGAGACTTCCTATAAGGCACACAGCCAATTCATCCTTAGAGCAGCTTTTGCCAGTGAACTCTTACTGAATGAATCAGCAAGAACCCCAGTGGAAAAGTAAGTACAATCGTGTGCAATTAAAATCTTATCAAACAGAAAATCATAGATAACTGTTAAAAAGAATTCTAATGGTTCACCTAAGTCTATCCTTCTACAAAAAAACCCAAAAAATATGTTTGAATGTATTCTGTGAAATCTCTTTGCAATGTGAAGGCCTTATACACAGTACAGCCATGAAAAGTGTTGAAGGGCTGAACTCAGTAGTGCCAGCGGGCTTTTCCAATCTAAACAATTCCATGTGTCTGTGCTTAAAACAATCAGTAATGTTAATACTGTCGATATCTATAAGGAGCATCATTAAAGGTTCTCAGAAAATCTGGGAGGATTTATTAATTTTATTTTTTTTTACTAACACAGGGGTCACTGTACATTACAGTGGAATTTAATATCAAATCTTTATTTCTGATACTCAAATTCAACGACAACTGTTCCACTTTAAGTGCAATTCTGTATTACACTTAGAAGTTCAAAGTTCTGAATGAGATTAAGGAGATAACTTTATGTATATAACTAGCATTTTATATGATTTGAACTGCTAATCTCTTTTAAAATCCAAAATGTTATTTGATCCAGAAGACAACAGTGATGGCACTTATTCCCTCATTACAAGTATGGGAAGAAATACATTGAAGATAATCAGAGATTTTTACGAAGAGAACAATGTATACCACTGACAATCCAGCTGTTTCCCCTTGCTGAAAAAAGTACATATTCTTATAGTATAAAGAGATAGAAACTTCATCCCTACTTTAAAGAAAACAGATTCTACGAAATTCTGAAATTGCAATTATATGTGAGAATTTGTTACTTGCTTAAACTATGTTGAATATCAGGAGAACAAAAAAGGGAAAAAATAAAGAATTCAGGAGTGACCCATAGAACTACACATCATTAAATGTGACTGCTGTGTCAGACTGGGAGGTGTTGTACTACAGATCTGGTGTGTCTGCACAAGGGTTGATGTTATTTCTGTCAAGTAGTGCTTCACAACCCCCCTGGAGCTCCATGAGGCATCAAAAACCAGCTAAAAGTCATACATTTATGTAACACAGACATTTTCAAAATCCTACAAGGATCTCTCTCATTTTCTTAAAGGGGCTGATATGCAATAATCATGTGCAAGAAAAGTTTTCAGATTAAAACCAGGAAAACAGATACAGCAAAAATGGTCAGTTTTCAGAACAGAATGAACCTACCAACAGATCTTTCCATGTGAAGATGTTGATAAAATATGTTCCATAGCAGATATAAATGCTTTGAAAGAAAGGATAGTAATGGAGCAGATAGATTGCTGGTGACACAATTATTTACAACACCTAGACTGACAGCTGCCACCCAACATTGCCAAAGGATGTCACAGGCAGAAATTGGTAAAATGCTCTTCAGCAAGAAAGCATGCTCAGTCCCCAGACTACTAGCAGAAAAATAAGTAATAAATGATTTAGTGCATCAGAAACAGTACACTTCATGTGCTTAAGTCTTACAATTTTGATAAAGGAAACTCCCTTAAAGCTTTGGGTTTAAGGCTGATAAGGCTGGCTTGAAATGGCTCTAAAGCATTTGCACTTGCCAAGCATAAGCAGCTTTGCATCCTCACAGAGACAATTTACATGAAGCCATATAATTACTAACCAAAGACACTAAACTTGCAATCTAATATTTTCACTGAATTATTTCATAAGACAGATCTTCTCATGCTTTGATGACTTAAAGCAGCAACTCTCATACGGCACCAAACTCTTTGTAAGGTAACTTTGAACACGAGTGAAGAGCTGAGGAGCCCTTGCTGCCCCAAGGGCAGCAGTTTGCTCCTGGCAATGTCTTAGAGCTTTTGCTCTTGGAAGCCTCAGCTCTGCAGTGGCCCTGCAGCCACATCCTGCCCTGAACTGCCCCAGGTGACCCTGGCTGAAGGAGGAGTCTGTGGGCACAGAGGACACTCCCACTTGAGGAGAGAGAAACACATCCAGAAATGCTCTGCTGAAACTTCCCACCTGTTCCCCCAGGGCTGGTCCCAAGGCTCGTTTCTGTGAGCACTGCTCACGCTGTGTTTCCTGCACATGTGCTGTAAGCAGATGTTTGTTAAGAACTTTCCTGGTGGATGTGATGAAACAAATTAACCTCGGGATTCCTGTACTCAGCAATCAGCACAGGGTGTTAGGCAGAATGCAAGCACAAGTCAGCATCACACAAATCTCACATTTGGCAGTAGTTCAGTCTTCCTGAGCTCTAAAGTGTTAAGGCACACTGTGACTATTGGATTTAACAGCTGATAGTGGATCCATCATCTCTTAACTCATTTGCAATTTCCATCTCCACAGAACTCTGCATCAATGCAACCTGCAGCTTAGCATCACACTCCTTCAGAAGGTACCTCATTCTATTTCTAAAACTGCAGGTTGATCATTTTATTTGATAAACCAGGATCTTTTGCAATGCATGAAAAACTATTCTTCTAATTGCCATTCTTTTCCACATCCTTTTGTTTTTCTCTCTAAATTTATATACCCTTTAGGAAATGGGATGGTCATAACTACATTTAATGTTGAAAGTGCAGGTGCAACGTAAGTTTGAGAGAGATTTTTTGTGTCTAATATATGTACAAACAAATTTGCCCTTTATTTCTAATTCTTAACTTTGCCTCTCAGAGCACTGCCAAGCACAGAGGTTGTATTTTCAGATTATTCCCAATGACAGCAGGCTCCGAGAGCAGAATGTGAGTAACTACAGCTAATGAGTGCATGTGTGGAAGCAGCCTTTGGCTGCCTGCTGTCAGAAGTGACTCAAATCCAGCAATATAAACATAGGTAGCGTGGAGGCTGAGCTCCAAGTTAAGTGTAAGATACAACAATGTAAATATTTGCACTAAGTCCACTTAGGTCTATCTCCTCTTTCTGAGTGCTTTTATCACAGGCTGTTTTCACATCTGCTCTCCCCCCCTCCCCTACCCTGTGAACAGGCCCCCACCAAAGCTTCCCTCTGAAACAAGGAGCCCAGTGTGAGCACAAGTTCTTCCCTCCTCACAGA